CAGACATTCACTGATGCACTACATCTTTTCTAGTAAATCTGGCACCATGAACACAGCTACAGTCAGAGAAGCTTGAGCTTACTAATATTACTGTAGACTTGTACTTTGGTACTACTCAGTGTTCTGATGATGGTTCAATGTGTAAAATCCAAGAAAATGGGTTAGAGAACAAGGAAATTCTAGATATAATAGTCGCAACCGCAAGATTGTACCATACCAGAGAACTCTGAGGTCGTTCCAAGTTAGATTATACAGTACTACAGCTCAATATGAATCCATGAAGAAGTATTAACTCAGCCCCATGGGAGCAGTTTTGTCCACTTCATCTGTCTTAACTACTGGGTCTAACTAACTCCAACAAAATAGTGCCATTTGGCATGGCTATGGTGCTTTTTAGGCAAGCCTGGAGGGCTCTGCTTTGCCCTCAGCAGTGGATTCTCATACTCACAAAGCTCAGACCCTCAGGACATACAGAGTGTACCTGCTGTAACCACCATCCTTGTCTGTTAAGGTGAATAAAGAACGTTTCTAACTCCCCTCTTCCTCTGACCACAACTACATTCTATCTTATCTGCCAAAGAAAGGTTTAACTCCAACTGTAATCTCCTTTCATTTGCCTGTACAGACTCTCTGATTTGCCATAGAGGACTCTTAATTCCTCAGGTGTCTGAAAAGATAAGCAGAGAATACATTTGTTGAAAAGTGCCAATGCAGAAATGAGACTGACTAAAATAAAAAGGTTTTATATTTTGACAGTGAAGACATCCTGCATTCTTGTAGATGCTGCCTTCTCATCCTTTACAAAACCTCAGTCTCACCTTCCCTCACCTCTGTAGCCTTCCCTAGACCAAGACTATATTCCAACTTAAGGGGAACTTTGTAAATTGTAAATTTGGAGTGAAAATAGACTTGAAATCTGCCACCAAATGGCGTGACCTTTCCCTGGGCAGCATTAGCCTTTTTGGCTTTTTTCTATGCTGTGTGCTCAACATCAGCTCCCTGCCTCTCCTCTTTCAAATCACTTTATCAGTTTCTGTCACAGAAGTAGTATCTGTCAGAGAAACAGGAAAATAGTATCTTCTTAAGCACTGAAGACACCAGCAAACTTGAAAAGCAAATCTACATTAAACTCATAAAATGGTGGAATGACTACCTCCTTTTCCTATTTTTATAAGGCCTTTAGAATCCTAGCTCTGCAGGATGGAGACTGTCTATTGCTGTATTTACACAGCAGCCGACCAATTTCTGGCCTGATTCTGGTCTTGACTTCTGGCCACTACCAGAATTAGATTACTATAATAACAGCAATTAAGATGTTCTCTTTCTAACAGACTGGATAGTTTCAGACATTTGATCTGACCTACTCAAAAGTTACAGATCCAAAAGATCTAAAAAAAGACACTGATGACAAAGAATAAAAAAAAATAAATCTTTGCAATTGCATGTCTAATTTCAGTTTATTACTCTCTCATCCTCTTTTACCCTTTGCGTCTTCATACTTGTAAAGGAAAAGATTTTCTACCATATGAAGCCAGTAACAAATAATATACACTGTTGGTGAAATTCTCTCTGTTCTCATTTGTTTGCAGCATAAATATGGAATAATTGGGGGATCAGATAGTACAAAAATATTAACATTCTATAAGATCAGATGTTTGTGTAAACTAAACACCAAACAACAACCTATAATCTACCATGAAAACCACTGATGTTTCATGAATAACCTGCAAAGAAGAAAAACACCCCAAACAGACCAAATCTAATGAAGCCAATTCTCAAAGAGAAACATGTGATACCTTCTTCAAGCAAAATCCATTCATGATAATAATCCGTTAGACCAGAAGAAAGAAATATAACTGGTGTGAACTCAATTTGTTAGAGTCTGCCTAGAACTTTTAACACTACACAAAGGCTAAACATTTGAATTAACTTCAACTGGAAGAAAATCAAGGATGAAATTATGAACTCAATACCAGATTTTAGTACAGTTTTGTTACCAAGGCATGTCAGCTTGGCACAGTGTAGCCCTGATCTTGGCAGCTGTGCAGACCTGAACTGTGTTTTGGGATGTCCTTTCCTCCCTCACCAAAACACTGAGCTGTTCCCCCAAAGCCAATTTACTGCCTTGGTACTCTCAGAGACATGGCTTTGCTCTTTAGCCAAAGACCACTGCCATGGCAGCTGCTGTCCCCTCTGACTTCTCCATGCTATAGCATCAGCCTCCTTGCTGGAGTGTCCTGGCAAGGACCAAGGGAGAAGAGAAGCAGAGGGGGTGTGGTGCTGGCTGGTGCCCCTCCCAGGCCTGTTGGCTTGTTCTACAAGAGGAGGTGGGCAGAGGGCACTGCTGGAGGGCAGCCATCTGCAGTGCACACATCCCATGAACAGATCCAAGCGGGATTCAGCTGTATGGAGAGAGCCAGAACAGCCATTCTGACCTGTGCTCAGGAAAAAGGGAAAAGGAATGGAAAGAAGATACTCCAGTGTTTGCTGTCTTCTTATTTCCTGAATTTAAACTGATGGGTGTGGCTGGATATTTTTGTGAATACATAAAGTGGGTAGAACTGGAAACAGGATCTCAGTTGAGCTAATGTAATCTTTTTCATCACATGAGCAATCCTTTTGCAAACAATGCTGGACCAGTTCAGTGCTTCTTGATTGGATGCAGAAAGGAATCAACTTTGTAACACAAAAGATGCTGCTTCAGGAGATTAACACTAAATTGGAGTAGGGAAAGATTGCAATCACAGCCCTGGACACTAGGTATGAACAGATGGTAGCCTATGTTAATAACTTGGAAGGCGAGAGTGGCATAGCAGAACGCAATGCATTTTAATGAACTCCATTAAAACCATGAGGACCAACTGTGAATGTATTTAAAAGCTTGCTTCTAATCTTATAGAATTTAAAGAAAAAAAATATTATTGCCATCAACAAGTGAGTTAAACCCAGTTTATAGAATACCTATGTAAAAAATTAATAATTCAAATCCTAGCAAAGCTGGGTGGAGGAACAGTATACTGTTCTATATTTTGTGACTAGATTTATTGAGGTTTCTGTTTAGGAATGAAATCATAGAATGTGAAATTGTGTATATTTATAATAATTTATGCTGATTTCAAAAGAATGGCTTGCACTAATTTCAATTTCCCTTAATTATTATTTATATGCAGGAACTATTTCACTAATGTTTCTGGGAGCAGTTTAGAATTCCTAATGCCAACCATGGCATTTCCTCTCCTCAGAAAGTCAGTATCCACAGCAACACAGAAATGACACCACATTCAGGGACTGGTCTGAAACATAAATGAAATGCCTTCTACATCTCTCTCTGAAGAATTAGGATTAATATTAACATTAATATTTATTTTAAAGTCCTGGTTCGGTCCAAACACCCACACTTCATATATTTTACAATTAACTCTTTCTGAAGATCTTCTTGTTCTATTCTTTACAACAAAGAAGCAAACTACAGCTTGATCAGAAGCTGCCTTTTGAGTCATCAGTGTGCTCTAATGAGCAAATAGTGTGAGTGATGTTTTGTGAATTATTTTGTTGAAGAATGTTAATAGTTCCATGGCTAAAGCACTACGAGCTCAGGGATGTCTGTGTGCAGACTATAATTCCACACCCAAGGTTATGGAGTCATGGCAACTGGCTATTAGAAATGGCAACTGGATATTAGAAATCCTCAGTCATCTGTGCTATCTGTAAGGGAATCACAATGCTGAGTTGCTGAACAGCAGTTTTCTGAGAGTTGCTTCTGACTGACAACTTCTCCAGATAGGTTGTTTCACTAGTGGAACCAGGAATATTCTTTAATCAGTGGCTTTAACTTGGTCTACATGTTTCTCAGCTCTTGAAAGCTTTCACCTTCACTGATCACTCTTAAAAAATGATTTCCTTCTCAGACTTGTACTTCTGGTTCACTGACATGACTACAGAACAACACTTTGAAACAATAGTTTCTTACCACATCTAAGATGTGTCATGCCTTCTGTTGTCTTTGTATGTGCTTTAATTACTTTCCTTCCTCCTCTTTTTCCTCTGCTATGCTTAGTATGGAAGTTCCACATTCAAATAACACAATTAACAAAACAGAATAACACAACAGCAGATGGACAAAACCGTTCTTCCATCAACAGCCATTCTAGCCACTCATCTTTTCTCTTTATCATCATAAAAATCTGCCATGTCATCAAAGCACCACCACACCGATATTATCACATTAGACATTCCAGAGAGAATAATATAGAAGTGAATCTTCAAATATTTGGGTTTTTTAATCTTTCTTTATGCCTGTTGAACTGCATTGTATTTTAAATCCAACCTCATATGTTTTTTCTCACCCTTTGCAGACTTACTCTGTAATTAGTAGCAGACTTGACTAAAGACAATGCCAGTTATGCCAGGTATTTTTACTTGGTTTGCTGCAATAACCATATTTTATTGTGTGTTTGAAGTCATTAGTTGGAGACAATCTGCTATATAAAACCCCCATGTATTTTAACAATGGTTAACCACAATACCTTAAGAGATAAAATGAAACTGCATTTGATTCTCCTGGAACTAGAATGAATACATCCTGCCTTTTGAACACAAAAATATTTAATTAAAAGAGTGTGCTTTCTCCATAATTTCTTTCTGCAAATGTTCCTTATGGGCAAGTTAGCAATTTTCAGCTAGTGAGAAAAATTGGAGTGTCTGCAATGCTCCCCAGCAAGCACATGTGTGTCTCTTTGGACACTGAAGATTTTTATCACACCTAAGCATTTCAAGTCACAATTATTTTGTGTTCTTCTTTCACAGATAACTTCATCATATATTCACAGTGCAGTATTCTGATTCCTTATAACCCTCCTTTTTCACTAATTTACAAAGCATCTTAAACAAGTACACCAGAAAGCTCTTACCACACAAAGAAATCTGATGCCAGGTGTCACTTGCAGTTGAAATCAGTCTTGGTGAACTCACTAGTGTAATTAATAGCTTATTCTAATTACCTTCCAGAGCATATTTCATGTCCTGGGCAAACAGAGTCCACATGATTTCAGCACTGATTTTTCCCATGTTCAGCTCTTGAGGGAATCTGCAATCAATCACATTACATCAGTTCACCTGCTGCTAGGAAGGATGCTTACAGCTGCACAATAAAAAGGCAAATATTTCCACAAAACAATTCCCCTAGTATGCACTTATTGTATTTTTTGTAACAATTATATAAACCATCCAACCTTCAAATAAAAACTTTCCTTTATGTCATATTTTAAATCAAGAAATATTCATTTATCTTGCAGATGATTCCTCAGCATTAGATAAATCAGATGGCTTATAAAGAACATGAAACAGTTGGCTCAGATGTTTAGCAGCCACAGGTTTTCCTAAATTCCCTTGTGACACTAGAAAAGATGGAAGCTGTCTGTGAAGATATACTATTGGTTTATATACTCATAGAATCCAATTCACTGAACACTTCCACCTGGATGTAAGGATAAAATAATAAAGAATATAACAAGTAGTGAAATGCAGATTTCAATTCAAAATTTTAATTTTGGTCTCATGATTCATATCATCTTTGAGAAACAGTTCTTTTCAGATACTTTCTGCTGTTATTAAGTATTTTTACACAAATTTTTCACAGATCCCAGCTGCTTCTTACTCAATGCAAAAGAAAAGCCTTAATCTTTGAGTTACCATTTTCACTGCTAGCAACTAGCAAAAGCTGGCATTTTAGTGATTAACACCATGTTTTATGTCACATTTTTTTCTCTTCTAGAAAGGGCTGTCTTTAATGCATTTCTGGAACTGACATTAATATGAACCATTCTCAGGACACAGAGGCAGAGCCAGGCAGGTAAGGCAGATGAAGAGCAGAAAGTAGATCACAGAATATCCCAGTGGGGCAAAGCAGTTGTTCATAGCACAGGGAGGAACAGTGAGAGCCATACAAATACACCCAGAGTTCACCAAGAAGACATAAAATAAGGGAATATATTAATGAGGAAATATACAGAGATGTGTGGCTTTTGTGTTGAGGCTATTACACTTTATACTAGCAGAGAATTGGGTCCAAAGTATTTTGACCTTTTAGTAAAGCATTAATCAAATTCAGAAAATATTCTGTAAAAATTTCTGTAAAAATATAAGAATTTTTAAAGGTCTGGTTGACACAGAAAGAATGAGAATTATGTGCAACTTTAAAGTGGTAGCAGTATGATTTAAGTAATGTATTAATTTTAGAGACCTATTTGACCCTGATCATATCTGCAAAGAAAAAGTACTTAAACAGCTCATTAGCTCTGCCACTTTAATAGGAAGCAGTTGCTGGCTCAGTTCACTGAGCCCTCTTTATGCTAATGACTGCTCAATTAAAGAACTTCATATTAATTCTGTTAACACAAAATTAATTTCTGTTCAAAAGCTGAAATGTATTTCAGCTGTCTTAATTTCTTTACCTCCAGTCCTGAGTTCTCTCTTAGCACCAGACTTGAACTTTGATAGTGTTGCTCTGAGGAAGTATTTAACAGCTGATTTAATATTGACACTGTCTTTTGAGCATATTGCAAGGCTGACCACAAGGCAAGGCTGGATCTGATAAAAGTGCACTTTTGATTAGGGATAAATAGGTTTGTCTAGGCATTTTAACTTCTGAAAGCACATGCACACAAAAACTGCAATTATTATGTTGTTTAAATTAGTTCAACACATCCCACCTGGTGAAGTTTAGGTGAAGTCAAGAATTGATCGTTTTTATAGTTCTAACAGACTGGTGGGCATTGCACAGCTGTCAGTCACAGGCATGAGGGGAGTACCAGAGGTATCCCTGCAGTTTAATGTATGTGAGAATACACAGCTAATGCACAACAGAAGCACACAACACATTTGTGTTGGTTTTGTATTAACTAATATTTAGTAAGAAAGAGGAAACTACATGCTAAAGATAAATGGTAACAGAAGCAGCTGTCTTATTAAAGGGATAATAAAGGGTCAAATACTAAAGAATCTAGATAAGCATGGTATTTTATCACCTTATTTGTAGGTAAGAAAACTTTTTCAAACTACTTCAGATTTTGATCCCTAAGGAGCAAAATATCAGAGACATTTCCCAAGCAAATCTCTACACATTACATTTTCTAATCTTTGTAAAAGCCACGTATTTTCACATTTCTCAGTGAAGCAAAAGGACAACCAGCAGAGTGCCCTGTCAGTCATTTAGCTTGCTCTTGCTACAGTTATTTCTAACCCATAGACCATGATTTTCCCAATTTCTATGTCATTCTTGGAATTATATTAAATCTCAGTTTATCCAGAAGAGTTATATTGCCCATACATGACCATAGCCAGGTATTTCCAAAAATACTAAATTACACGTACAAGACAACCACTTCTGTGTTCTCTCCATTGATTTTAATTAAGCAAAAATTTAGTGAAAACAGTTCTCATTGGCTAGTTCTAATGAACGGCTATATATAAAACCACAGATCAATGGAAGGAAATTGAACTCAGCTTAAAACAAAATGAAAATAATGAATGTATAAGCAAAACATATAACACCCAAAAGCATTTATCCCAGACAGTACTGCATGTCTCTAGTTCAACCCTAAAGTCAGAAAATTCTATCATGACAATTAAAAATGCTTTTTCTTAATTTGTGCTGCCAAATTTCCAGTCTGCTACATTTTGAGAATATCAAAGTCTCTGAACCTCAGATGCACTTTCTCAGAATAGCTCATTTTCCATACTTGGTGGCTTCAATCTCATCCAGGTGCTAAATCTCACCAGTCCTAGGGGTGAATACATTCAGTTTTGTGCTGTGCATGCAGCATGAGGATAGATCTCACCATCTGTGGAATGCTGGCCACGGCCACTGCTTCACTAACCCTTAAGAAAAAAGTTCTATTTGATTTTGGAAAACATGTATTCTATTTAAACTGTGAGAAAAGAGCTCATTTATTCTTACATTTTCTGCTCTATCCTCATCTATCCAAAGCTTTATTTTGAACACTCCTTTCCCTGAAGAAGTAATGAGCAAGACAGATACTGTATATAGTCTATATAACTAAGCAGTGTCTGTCTGTACATTGTTACATCCGAAGCTACAGTAAGTATGGTGAAAGAATGAGAACAGCTTTGTTACAGTGGATAATGTTCACAAGTTCAATGAAAGAAGTGATATTCGTATGCTCCACAGAATAAAGGGTAATTGATAAATGGGGGGGATATCACTGATCAAGACACAAAACCTATCAGATACACATTCCATTATGAAATAAACATTCTCAAGTTAGGCTGACATGATACAGTGTACTCCGATTTTTTCACTTCCTTCCATAATTTATTTTTTCCACTCACTTATGTTTCATAACTCACTGACATGTAGGTTACAGTTATGGTGTTTCTATAATATAAGTTACTATCTGCAACTTTTCAGAGTTAATAAACATCTTAGCTCCTGAAGCATGAGGAAATCTGCTCCTGCAGATTTCATGTGTTGGTCCTTCCCATACTGTGTGGAACACAATGTGATCCCAGAGAAAACAGATCCTAACATTGCAATGATCTAAGGATCAGTAAAGAACAAATTTATAACTCCCAGCAGAGTTTTCTTTTTTCTTAAATTCATACTACAATGACAACTTGACTGTTCTGAGTATATGTGCAAAAGAAAAGACAAAAAAAGTGCAGTGGCCTGAAGTATACTTGGGTTGAAGATTTTGTTTTTAATTTGATGTTCCTTTTTTTTAGAATAGATATTTTATTTTGATGGCAATTTCTCCTGTCTCACACCACATAAAATGCAAGTTTAGAAGTGCCAGGAAGCCCTGGGTTTGCCTGTGAATCAGGTTTCAAACACATTTTACATTGTTTAACCAGTAGAATGAGGATTTTACAACTTAAATACCAGGCCATGTTTTTCCCCTCAAATTTGTCAAGTTTCTCATGTCATGTAAGAACTGCAGGTTGCCCGCACACTCCCACTGCGTGGTCTGGTATGGTCTGTCAGTGGCTACAGTGCTTGCTGAGGCCATCATGTCATGTTTCATCTGGATTGATAATTTGATGCAGTTCAAACTACTCAATCACAGCATAATTTTTGCCTCCAAGGTAGAAATAAAAATAGGTTTTCCAAAACTGGCTGAGGAGCAGAATTCTGAGCAATATTATACAATTGTGAAAACTTTTATCAGAATGGTCTCCTGGGGTTCTTCAGCCACCTCATTTCTAAAATAAGATTCCAATGGATGTGGGCCTGAATAGTCCACTGAGACACTGCATGGCCATATATTTCTAATAAGGAGTCATATTTTTGCAGTATTCTTATGTATTCAACTTTTATTTCCCATTCATCCATTTTAATCCATTTTCTATTCTGGGGTAAGCAGGGGAGAGGAGGCTGTCTTATTTTTTTCTCACCAGTTTTTACATGCTGCTTTTGTGTTAGGAGAAGCTTTTATTAAAAAAAAAGAAAATGTGTCCAAAGCAACTCTGAACAATTTTTAAAGTTTTTTTCCACACACAGCCTCTTCATCTTTTACTTCTGATGTCTCCTACTTCTAAAAGATATGTTATTCCCTGTGTTCACTCTTTCACTTACAAAAAACAACAGCAAAAGCCAGAGAGAAGGCAGAGACAAAAACTCTCTCCTTTAATCTGTCCCAATTCCATCCACTTCTGATTCTCTTTTCACATCCTAAACAAGCATTCATCTGTACTTTAGGGAACCCACTAATCCCCTTAAAAGAACTCTATGTCTTTACTTTCTCCCTCACATTTGTATAAAAATACAGCTAGAAAATTTTTTAGGATAATTAACCTGCAATTACACTTGTTTAAATTCAATGAAGAGACTGAAATGAATCACATATATGTATGTCTCAATTAGGTATTTTAGAATGACTGTATTATTCATACAGCCAGTCAGACAAAAGGCTGAGCTTTCATTAATGGAGAAACTCACCACTATGTCATAAAAATGGAGTAAACAGGAAAAGTGTTTTCTTTCCTCTACAGGGTAAGAACTTATTCCTCAATAAGATCAGTGCAAAAGACAATTGAACAAAGAAATGCGTATTGTCCAGAGTGAAAGAATACTTTATTTATTTCAAGTAAAGGAAGGAGTCAGAAGTCAGTGAGATATCTTTCACCTTCTGGTTATCATCAGGAAGTTTCTTTGTCACTTTTACTGTGGTTAAATAAATAGAATGGTACCTTTCTTTTATCAACAGACAATGTACAGGGTGCCTTCTAGTATCTACCCTATTGTGGCTAAAAAGAACAGATTGTTCCTGCTCCCCTTTAGAGCATTCAATTAAATGCAATTGCAGAAACCTCTATTAATTGTTTAGTCATAATACAGACGTAGGTTTCAATGTTAACATTTGCATAAATCATCTCAGCCAGACTATGCCAAGATTTTCTGCAGTCTCTCTGTAAAATGGCTCCAAAGAGCTAGAACATTTCCCCAGGGCCTCATCACGTCACATTTCAATTAGTGTGAGGGCTGTTTCTCCAGCTGTAATATGTGAAACATGTTCCTTTGCACTCTTTCTATATATTTAGTGTTCAAACCTCAGCACTGCCTCCTTTTTCTGTATTTATCGATTGTTTCTCTCCTTTCTACTCATGTATCTACCTAAAGTTATTTGACTTGTCCTGGTTATTGATTGTACCTCCCTCATCTGCTACATCTTCAGTTCTGAGAAGTCAACTTCCATCTCCAGGATAGTGCTCTCCGCTTCATACATTTCCAGGTCAGTCTGGCCAGCCAATTATAAATTCAGAGAGGATCTTTTTTTGTGGAGTTCTTTGTTTTTTTACAATTACATGCCTAAAAATCATACCTAAAAGAGTTTCAGCATGATTTGAACATCCTGTGTGCCACAAAACACTCATACCATCAATACCATAACACTGAAAATTCCCTTCACTGAATTGTCACTGCTGTTTCCCTTCTATCCATTTATTTCTCTTGTAGAATATTTTGCTACTTAAAGTTTTGAGATGACTCATATAGCACCTGTCTTTAATGTCCCTAAACCAAAAGCTTTTCTTTCCATTTTCAGAGCACTAAGGTTTTATCAAACTATGTCAATACTACATTCTGTATAAAAAATTCTACCTGGATTATATTTAAAATACAACTTCTGATTCAGGTGTATTTCTTAACTGTATTTTTAATTAATAAATGATTCTTAGTTTTTATAGAGAAAGTAATTACTTACTGGTTCAAGATTGGTGTATATGCTGTTTTATCTTCATCTATAATGGTGACCATCAGAGTTATCAGCTGTGCCCAGAAATCCAAATTCTTTGTTGTTGGTCCCTGTTCTTCTTTAGGAACTTCCTGTTTCTTACTCTGTTAAAACAAGATTGAATATATTTTTATTAGAGAAAATACTACAGGACTTCAACCAATAGTTTATTCCTTGATTGGGAAGAGTGACATATTAAGAATTTTTGGTTTCTTAATAAGAAGATTGGCTAAGCAACAGAGCAGAACATATGAAAAACTGTACTTGGCTGTGCACAAATACAAAGAACCATAGTGCAAGGATTGTCATGTCAGCAAAGGAGATCAATAGAGACTTGGTTTTTAGTGCATGCTCACACTATAATTGGATATATTATTAAATTATTTGCTGTGCTGAGACTCAGAACAGGTATAATTGCCTGTTGAAGTAGAACTTTTATTCCCAACACAATAAAGACTGAAAAAAAATCAATGCTGAGGAGTGTTTAATGTTGTGTTTTGAATTATATGCTGAAGGTATTCAGCCTAACAGCTGCTTATGATGTGTGGTCTAAATGAAGAAGCAGTTGAATTTCCCTTTATTTTATTGAGAATTTTACATTCTTTAATTTCACTAAAATGTGCATTTACAGATAGACTTTGTCTCTACAGTTTTTATTTATGAATTCTTAGCCTACAATTTCCTAAGCAAAAGTATTTTGCATTCATTTTCTTGGCAGAAGGATCAGATTCCTTATCAATGTCCAATAAATAACTTCATTGTAGGGACCCAAAAATGAAAATAATATTTTTAGTTCTCTGTGGACACATACACAAATAATTTCTACCACAGAGAGCTATGTCTTCTCAGGCTAGATCTACACATGGTCTTCCACACTGCTGTGTAAGATTGAAAGGGTCTCAGCTGGTAAGTCAGAAAATAAACATACCTGAGATCCTGCAAGTTTAAACATGTGTTGCCTGTATTTCTCAATCCTAGTCCAACTATGACCACTTCAGTGGACTTGGTATCTTTTTGAATATGCCCAACACTGTATTAGTGTCACAGTGAATTAATTAAATGTTATTTTAACCTCAATTAGCTTTTATCTATGAATAGCATTTGGAATGGCAGAAAGGGAATTTCAACACCACCTATTTGAAACTCACTTTGGGACTAATGTGGAATATTTTACACAAGTATCATTAATCACACTGCTACATACTCAGTTAAGCTACAAAGGGTACCTCCTCAGAGTCTAAAGCAATAGAAATTAAGCTCAGAATCAGGTCAAAGGATGGTGGATCTAGTGTCACCAACAATTAACAACTGTGCATGCAAATGAGAGAGCTTTTCAATATGGAAATGAACATTAGAGCATTAATGTCACTCACAGGGGCTTTCCCTATATATAGGCTGTCCCTACATATAAATATGTATTTATATAATACAATCCCTTATAATATAATACATTATATTTTTACTAAAAAGGCCTTGTTTCTATACTAAGGATGTATGTTTAATAGATCATTTTTTTTTCTTAGAAGCTTGTTAAATCAGACCAAGTGAAAGGTAGCTGCAGAAGACAAAGTCACTTCATCTGTAGCTCCACATCTTATCCAAGAACTGTATTTCACAGCAAGTGACATACAGCTGAGACAGCTTTTTCAAGGCGAAATTCTGTTCTTTAACAAAGATAGCAAAAAGTAACTAATTTACAAAGTAATAGTTGCACAAGAAGGTCCTCTCTACAAAAATTCTCTGGAAAAGACTTAAAATCTGTATGACCTTTTCAAAAATACCAGAGAATGTATTTTATAAAAAGTCTCACATTACAGATGTAGTTTTGTGCTCTGAAATGAAAGGGCATTCTCTGCCCATCCCTGGAAATGTTATTTCCATTCTTGATCCTAAAATCTACCTGGGGTGTTACAAATGATCAGAATCATTCAAGCTCTTTTACCTTATTATTGTCAGCTCTATTATTTGATTTATGTACATCAGATACCTTTGTAGAAGCATTATAGAATTATGGAGTGCTATGAGTTGGAAGGGGCCAGAGTCCAACTCTTGGATTCCTTCACAGTGTAATGCCCAAAACCACACGGTGTGTTTGGCAGTATTTTCCAAATGCTTCCCCAGCTCTGGCAGGCTTGGTGCAGTGCTGTTATCATGAGGTAAAACAGTGGTGGAAATTTGATTTCAATCTAGATATTTTTTTTCACTCTCATTATACCCACTCAAAGGAAACTGTCAGTGTGAAAACATAAATTAAATGGCTGATATATCTAATTAGTGCCACACTGGCACAAGTACAACAAAGATAAAGGAGACCCTAAAAATCAATTATCTGTACTGATCAGGAGTTCTTCAGATAACATGAAGGGTATGGTCTGAATTTCATTGGTGTCACTCAGTGGAGAAGACTGCAAAAAGAATTATTGAAGGGACTTCTGTCACTGTGAGCGCCAGTCAGGATTTCAAAATTTGTTTTCTCAGGAAAATAGAAAGAGTGACATATCTGTAAATTGAGTCAGAAAGCTATCAAAGTGCTTCCTAAACTACTTCTCCAGGACATTTTTTTTTTCCATAGGGCAGCTAAGCACTTCATTCAGATAACTGTTAATTAAAAAGAGAAAATATTTCATGTGCTGCATAAGGAACTTGATAGTTCTACATCACAGGGCTTTGTCTCTAATAATGAGGATAGTAATATACATGTCAGTAAGACTGTCAAGCTATCATGTTTTACTGTCTGTGGTAGTCATTGGTTTTTACCATCAGCTATTCTTTGTATTCTGGTGTGGAACTGTAGTATGACATTTTTGCATACTGTTAGCATTTGCAATGCTTCACCCCAGGAAATATCCTCAGGGGTGATATTTTGCTGCAAGACATTAGCTTTTTAATGGCGATTGTCTGCCTGACACAAAGGTAGAGAGTAATAAAAAGAGGAATTGGAGACTGCTGAGCGTACTTTGTAATTTACTTGTTGCATTTATAGTGGCAAACATCCAAAAACTCCAGTTCGAGTGCCCTCAATTTTAACAGTCATTGCTCTATTTTCACCCCAAACTCAACAATCCCACACAATCAGACCTGAAGCATGTTTTCTAGAAATACTGTGGCAGACATCTATGAGAATTTTAGGTTGCAGCCAAAAGCATCTGCAGGAGGTGGTTACCCCGAGTCACACACGGACACACACCCTGAGCGTGCAGGGGCCTCAGCAGGACAGCAGCTGCCAGTCCTTCCCCTGAGTGAGAGCAGGTGCTGACCTACATAAGAACCATTTCTTGCTGCTTTGGGGCTCATTGATTTCAATTCTCCGTACTCTCAGCTCCAAGCTCAGCTGTGCAGCTAAAACATGAACCTCCTGTGCTGCAGAGCCATGCTGGGATGAGCTCCCTCCCTCTGAGAGGAGCAGACCTCACCTGACGGGGGGGCGAGCAGAGATAAGGGAATGGGTACTGAGGAAGGCTTAAGGGTGGAATCTAAGAGGCTTGGACACAAAGTTAATGAAATGTTAATTACAATATTGGTTACTGCTTCATTATTAGAACAGTGGCACCACAAGCCAGTCACCCAGAGTCACTGGAAAGCCTCCAGGACCATAGGTTCAAACAAGCTGCATACTTAAGTGTTCCTAAAACCAAATGCACCTTTGGATATATTGATAGGAAAGCCTAAGTGGATCAAGCTGAACAAACTCTCATTGTACAACTCAAGAGTTGATGTAGAATTCAGGTATTTTGAAATAATTTTACTTATCTCTCTATTAAAGTTAGGCCAGTTGTATTTCTCAGAATTGTCTCCTACCTTCTGTGAAAGGTTTTAGTGTCTGGCATTAAGATTATATATGATAAGAATATATATATATTGCTTGAATTTTTTGTTTGATTGTTGATGTGATTTGCTGTTAGAAATAAATTATTTTGAATGCAATATGTTTATTTTAAATTTTGCTTTTTACACTTCACTGAAGTGTCTTGCATTGCTTGGTGATTGTAACTGTACAGACAATTGCCTGCTTAAAATGTCCATATAAAACTGCCCCTGCTGGAACTCCTGTGGACTCAAGAGGTGCAGAAATACAGTGAAATGCAGTTAACTCGGTTTTCCAACTGAGTGTATACTTGTGGATTTTATTTATTTATTTCAGGACTTCTTATTTCTCCACCATTAAGTAGGGTTGTGTGAGAGAAACCTATAATAACATTGCCTCAAATATAATTGGGAGAGAACCCTTACTTAAGCAAGTTTTACATTCTTTACCCAGCAGAAAAGCTGTAACATCCCTGCACTTTAAAACCATATTTTAAAACAGGTTAAATGACTGCATGGATTCACATTAAAAAGTTGTCAATTTTTTTTGAATACAGATAAGCTTTTGCAGTTGTCACAATGCTTTGCAGAGGTAAGACTTCATCACTTTTAGCTGTTTACTGAAGACTAGAATCTACTGATAAACTGCAGACTTATGTAATACCAGTCTAGCAGCACTTCATATAATATTTACCAGACAAGATCAAATTGCTGCAGAGTAAACGTTAGCGAGAAAACAGAACAGTTTATGACGTAAATAGATGCGATGCCTGAAGCTGCTCCTTCCACTAATTCATACTCTTACTCTGCTTACAGTATAGTCTGTTGTAGGATAAACACACATCAACACTAAGTGTGGAGTGCTCATTGGTGCTGGTGAGAAATTCTTACATTTAAAACTTTTCTCACATAACAGGAATCCAAATAAATTCTCATTTCAGAAATATTGAATAGATAGCAAATATCACCTTTCCTAAAATGCAGGAATACATATCCTGGATTTAAGTGAAATATGCTTTCAAATAAATTTCATTTGAAGTCTTATATCATTAGCATAAGTGTTCTTATTAATTTTATACACAAGACAAAAAATGCATTTGCCAAAGAACTGAGCTAATCCTGTTCAAGGCTGGAACAGTCAAAGAACTACCATTTTTTCAGTGTACAGTCCAAAAAGCAAATACAAGGTACAGGATGTAATATGATAAAGAAGTGATGCTCCTTTAAGACAGTAATTAATTCTAACATTACTCATGGAATGACTGTATTATATAAAAAATAATCAGTATTCTCAAGGATTTTGCGTGACATTTGGAACACAACAAATGCTAGAATTATTTTGCGTTGACAGGTCAACCTGACAGACTAATATAAAGAAATATTCCAGAATTATCCTCTGCTTTCTTAATGCAGTTACCAAAGCCTGGATCTACGTATGCATCATTGGTGCTAGAATATAAGGGCGGAAAGACTGTATCACTTTCAGCAAGTTAAATTTTTTTTTCCTAAAGCTACAGAAGGGAAATGTTAGATTTTAAATAACTATTTTCCTGTTACAGATCTCAAATGAACAGTAATCAATCAAATGTCATCCTCCCCAGAACCACTGGGAAATTTCAGAGTCATGTCCAACTTGATGATTACATTATAGGATAATGTATCCATTTTGAAACTAATCTTAAACGTTTTAGAGTTCATAGCTGTTTATGGGTGTTTTATGGTATGCTGCTCCTCCATGCATAAATAAAATGAAAATATGAATGCTTTGACATGAAGGAGCACCAGAAGGCTTTCTGTTTACTACAGGCAAACTAACAACAATGAATGACTAACAACAGGCAAACTAACAACAACAATGAGCAATAGCACAAAACAAGTTCATTTTGACCTTACCTGATCCACTAATTGGGAATAGAGATCATAGCAATTGTCAAAAATGTATTTATAAGTTGAATCCAGGCAGGCTCTTACACAGTCTTTCACCACTGTACTGGCTCGAGGGGGACTCTGCAATTCCAGGACCTAATGAAATATTTCAGAAATGGGAGACTGTCAGAATTAGATTGAACATAAAAGATCCAAGTGTTGAGTGTAGTTCTGTTATACAGGATAAAAAGTGTTCAAATAAAGCAATGATAAAATAATTAAAATTGTGTTGAATTAATGTGGATTTAGTTCAAAGATATATTAAAACACATGCAAGTAAATTTTATCACTAAGTTTTATTTGAATTAAAATATTTATACGATGAAGGAGGCATGTGTGCACAAGAATTTACATCTTAACATCTCAGGGTTTATGTTTTATAAGGGTTTTTTTATTATTTAGGCAGTAATTAAACCATATAATTATGTGCTTTCTTTTGAATAAGAATATCAGCCAAATACCAGTAATTTATTGAAAACAAAGGGCTCATCATTTACTCCATTTCAGGCTACATTAACTCAAACTTTAACTTAACGGATTATTTTAATTCTCTTTATGTAGTTGCCTAATGCAATGGAATCACATGCTATTACAGCAAAGGTTCCTTTGTGTTTCTCTTTTTTCATTCAGTAATACCAATGTGTACCATTCCATTACAAAAATATTTGCAGACCACTTAGATCTCAACCTCTGGAGAGACTAAGGCAAATAGTTATCAGATCTGTTTTATTGTTTGACTTGTGATTTTGTTATATCAGTAGAAAAGCATTATTCTATATGACTCCTAAGGCAATCAGCTAAGTATGATTTATGTGACTTGACTTTAAACTAATTAAAAAGGTAAATTTTTTGTTTTTTTCAGGAAATTTATTTGTGCAAGGACAGGACAGTACCTTCATCCGAAAAAAAGTGATGCTGGTTAGCAGGTCCACAGTTGATTTCAGATCTTGGAGTCTTTCAGAATTACTGGCAGGAAAATTATCCTGATGAAGCAGGGAAAGAGGAATTGTGCAAAATTTGTGTTACAGGTAAAATCCTTGAATTAGTCAAAAAGCCTCTAAGAAAACATAAGGTGCTGCTTGGAAGGATTAGAGATGTTCGTGTTATCTGAATTCTGCCTGTGAAGTAGTTAAGTATCCCTTGGACATGAGTAGGCACATTTTGATAATGCTCCTGCACTTATAATATGAAAAATTACCAATATTGTGCTATTCCCAAAACATGGAGTAAAGAAGTCTAGAAACTGCTGCTAATGAAAATAATTTAAATACATACCCTGTATTTAGATAAATCAATCCTCAGAGAATTGTGCAATTGATCCAGCAGCTTTATGAACTTTTCTCTCTGTAAAAAGAAGACAAGAACACGTAGCACTAGAATTTGCAGGTCCCTGTAATATCTGGGGCTTTGTAATGCTTCCTTCCACTCTTAACTTATTTGAAAATCAATTTGCTTTCCATTATTTCATATACAAGTGATGGTTTGAAATACCTGTGTTTCAAGGCCAGGTGATGCATCTTTCACTTTATTTTCCCTTTCTATTTATATTGTATACCTAGTATGCATTAAACACTGTGCAGCTGTGCAACACATTAGTGAGGTCACAAAGATTTTGCAACACAACATTTTCCTGTCTTATATTTGCCTTGAAATTGATGAAACTCTTGAAGAAAGCACCTCCTCCTTCCTTTAATAAGTAAGAAATGATGCTCATTTACAACAGAATTTGGTGCAAAAGTATGATTGAAAATTATACTTCTGAAACTGTGGCTTTTGTAGGAATAAGTTAAGCAGTACTAATACAGCACAATTATATTTTTTCCTTTCAAATGTGAAGATTAACTTGTTATCTTGATAGATGAAGGAGCAGTGAAAGTATTTTGCTGTGTGATTTCCAGCTGAGTTGTGCCATTCTCAAGTAATACTAATTAGAGTTTCTAATTACCATGTTAGGACATATTCTACAGTCTACTGCACAAAACTGTGAAATCTCAGCCTGTGTGAAAGCAGCAGACTTCTGGAAGAAGCAGGAACTGATAGCTCTCAGGATGGCCTGATTCTATCTGCACCATCCTCCAAATGTGATGATCAGTAATTTGAAAATAGAGTCTTTGTGCACTGTCTCTCATCAGTGCAGTCCTAACCTACACCAAACCCCACTAATTTGGCACAGTTCCCTTAAGGGATCAATCAAAAGAGAACTTTTTTGTCGTGTTATAAATCTCTACTGAAATATTCAGTCAGCCAAATCATTCCCAGCTGTAGCCTGAGGACTTGAATTTGAGATGCTCTTTCTGATGAATGATGTGCAGCTATTCACTAACAAATGCCTTTTGACCCAGGAGAGAAGAATAATCTAATATTTTTCCTATAAGTCAATTGTTTGAAAAAAGAGCTCCAAATCTCTATTAGTGATGCCTACTACTCTTTTTCCATCCATCTGTTGAACTATGAATTGGATTGGAATTGCGTCAAAGGCAAACTGGCATTAACATCAGAGAAAGGATTTAATCTCTGCCCATTCTGAGGACAAAAGCAGTTCTGGTCATTGGAAAAACGGAAAAAAAGGATAAAAACCCCAGAAAAACCATTCTAAATTTCAAAAGTTGCATCAAAGGTCGAATAAAGCTTGAACATTGAAAGAGAGGACTTGTTTCAACAAAGATATTAAGTCATTATTGGTTTACTCATCCAAATGTATAAGTCCATAAGTTTGTCTTGAAAATCTAAAATTCATAATTCCTCTTATTCCAATGCTAGAGAAGAGTACTACTGCTTCTAACACTACTTCAAATAAAATTTGACATTTAGAATTTAAATTTATATTTAATAAATTTTACTTAATATTTTATTTCAGGTCAATAAATGGTATTTTATGAAAACCGTTACATCAAATATACCTTTGATATCAGCCCTACAACCAAAAGCCCTACTAAAAAAAGAGGAAAGAATAAATGCATTTTTCAGCATAAGATTCTGTTTATATTCTGTATCATGTGTTATACCAGAGCTATGAAGGCAACCTCTTTGAATTACTGCTCTGCCTTCCTGCTCTCAATTCCTCTGAGAGTAGGTGAAGGAATCAGAATAAGGACTGAACGTATTTTTATTTATTATCATGTTCAAAGACTAGGAAGTCCATGCTGTGAGATACTTATCCACAAAATAAAGTTTAGCAATAACAAAATGCTGAAATGCCTATTCCTCCTAAAATTCCTGATACCTAAATCCAGGACTTGGACAACACACCAGGAAAAATTTCAGCAAAAATTAGAGAGTCCATTATTATGGATCCTTGTGAGAAGAGCAGCATTTATGGCTACATCCATTATGTTAACATGAGTTCACTGATGACACAGTCCAAGAAAGGAAATGCATCCAATATCTAGTCTAATGCTGTTAGCAGTTTGCAAGGCCCACTGCAATAAAACAGAAACCTGTTTGTTGGAGATTTTAGTACTGTGAATGTGTGCCAGTGCTTTCTACCCTCTATGCCTCACAAGGAGCTGAGCAGCACTTTCCATGGCTTTTATGATAATCAATTTTAAAGACTCAGGGTAAAATTTTCAAAAGCTAACAACAGCCTTTACTCTTTAAAATGAGCAATTTAAAAAAAAATCCAATGTAGAAGTTAATATGGAATATAGTAGAAAAAAAAAAAGGACTAGAACACTATTGAAAATCTACTTACCCCAAAGTTAGTAGCAGCAAAGCGATCTGAGGCAGATACATTAGTTGCTGCTGTTGTATGAGCATAGAAAGCATTTATATTGGCCAACAACGTACTCATAACTGCTGGAACACCAGGGCACATGTATTTAGAAGAGAGGCAGGAAAAGTGCCTGCAATATAAACAGACCAAAAGTTATTAAAGATGTCAGGTCATCTTCTTCTTCTCCCATTGTAATTTATTTCTAACTCAAATGATGTAACTTTCAGGCTACCTCATGGAAAATTGTACAGATGCATATGAAGAAAACCCAGATATGTTTGATATAATTACCACTTGTTGCACACTGATGTTTTCAAACATCAGATTCACATTCAGTTCTTCCTCTGTTAATCCTGAACACAAAAACATGACTTAACTATTTCAATTGCTATTAAGTGAAACATTCATTATTAAAGAAGACCTAAAAAACAAACTCTAACTCATCATCATGGAAAGTCACAGAGATGTATGGTAGAAGATTTAATTGTTGCCAACAAAAAGACTCAAACCAGCATTTTAGTGTGGCTTTTATTTCACATTACATTATTAATGAAAGGCGCTTCAAGCAGCTTAACAGCTTCACCTTGATTTGAATTAGGCCATAACTAAAACTGTCCTACTTTGATCCAGACCAGTAAAATTTAGGTAATCAGTCTGTTAAACCTGAAGCAGCCTAAACCAGAGGTGCAAAGTAGAAACACTGTTTACTTATTTAATGAAAAAGGAGATGCCTACTGGTAGCATGCAAAGAGCTTATAACACAACAAAACACAAGAAGTACAAAGGAATGAAAGATCTGACCCATGAGGAGAGTGAATATCACCATGGCAAACAAATTCCTAATTTCAAGGTTTATAATTAGGCAGGATTGGAAGGGAGATAAAGGGATAAAGACTAAATGTACACAAATAGGAAAGAAAATGAGAGGGATTAGGAAAAGATGGTGATAAAAGTGGGTGTAGAGTTAAACAGAAGAGGATTAAGAAACTCCAACCAGTCTCTGTGTGACTGAAGGTCCTGATTTGGCCACATGCTCCTCTTAGCTGGAGTCTCTGGCTCCTCTCTCCTGTTCCTCCTCAGGAGCATAAGGAAGAGCCGTGTGCTGGGCCTGAACCACCTGGGCACTAATGCCCTTCCAAGAAAAAAATTAACACAAGGTACAGTTGAACTCTCCTGCTGAACTTAAGCCAAATACCCTTAACTGTTGTCACTGCCTGGGTCATCTTTCCAGGCATAATTCAAGATTATTTTCCTGTAGGGGCAATCATTAAGTGCTATTATGTGCATTTTACATAACTGAGAGAAACTGCTCAAAACCACACAGAAACCAATCACATCAGCCAGGAGCAGAACCCAGCATTCCCATGGAATAGTGTTACCAAACCTTTAATTCATTGCTAGTATTTTCAAGAAGTGCTTTTGAAGACTGAAATGTGAATTCAACAAAAGAGGAACACAGCTCTCCACCCGTCAGAAAAATCTTTCATTGTATGTCACATGTTTTTTGTCAAGTAGAAGAATAATACTTTCCTTTGTAATAAAATACAATAGTGATGTCAGGTGGATCTCACTAATAAAGGTAACCTTTAAAACTAATAGAAATATCTCCTTATCTATCAGTAAATTTGGGAAATATATGTAGAGATGATCAGAACCAGTTTTCAAAAAATGGACAAAATAATTAGTACTTTTACTAATGACCTTTAATTTCCAAAAGTCTTTTAGTGGACTTAAAGGTCCTTAGTGCACAAGTGACATCAATCTGGAGATCAAAAGGCATTAATAACCCTTAGAGGGCCTTAGAGTCATATCTGTAACATATTCTCTGCTGAGGGAGGAGGCAGGCAAAAGGAGCAGTCAGCAGCAGAGGAATCACTGAGTCTCAGTTGCCTTCAGGGAACATGACAGACCATGGAAATATTGTTTGGGTCAACATTTTAAGGCACCCTCTGAAGGTTCCACTAACCATTTCATAATGAGCTACCCATGACCTGAATTCTTATCTTGAAAACAGACCCAAAGAGGACCAATTTTTCACAAGGAAAATTAAAAACAATTGATACAATTTATGTCCTTATAGAAACTGCTGCACTGTTTCACCTGTAATGTGCTTAGTGAAAACGATGATAAAGCATCTGTGACAGATTTTTGTTTCTCTCCATCATGCAATTAAAATCTCTAATGTTCACAAAACCTATTAAGTACACAATGTGGGTCATGACTCAGAGTGCTGATAACTCAGGCTATAAGCTACCTGCAAGATACCTGGATTCCTTCTGCTTGCTAAAATGAGTAAATCAAAGTAAGCCCCTATCCTTGTTTTTGCAAGTCTTTGAAAACAGCAGCCAAGAGCTTGAGTTATTAACAATTTCAATGGGCACATGATGTCACAGCAACCATTGCTAAGTCTCACAGATTTTAGAGCAAGTTTGCACTGCCTAAGCTACAGTGGTGTCTGAAACCAGGTCTGCTTGCTCCAACTTTCTTACTATGCAATTTCCTGTCCATCAGAGAGTGCCTAGGATCCTTCCAATATTTCTGCTAGCATGAATTAACGAAGAAAGAAGTCCCATTGATGTGCTGTACTCATCAGTAAGCAAATGCTATCAATAAAAAATTAGTTTAATGGGCGATTTGTGTGTTTTTTGTTATGCTGGCACATTAATTGAAAACTAGCAGGAGAACAAGATGACATAGTTAGTGCCCATTAACCTGCTGGAATGAGAGCTATGTTGCTGATTGAGAATCATTAGGTTCTACCTGTGGTGACTCTTGCCAGTAAGAAATAAAGATCTTAATAGAGCTTTTATTGCACTTGACTCTATTACACAGTAAATTCAGGTTGCTAATATTATGTGTAATTTCAGTGTCTAGTCAAACACTGTTTCAATACGTGCTCAGATTTTTGCCTTCTGAAGAGAAATAAATTATGCTGAAAGATGAATGACATGAAAAAAGTTACTTTTTCTTCACTGCAGTGTGGCTTAATATATGTAGGTAAAGAAAGTATGATTCCAGTATGATTCCTTCTAGAAACTGAATTTACAGCATAAACTCCCATCAATCACCACAGTCATCTAAATAAAGGCCAGCTGGATCACTGTGCTGTTTTTCTACTTTTTCTTCCTCTTTTCTCTGATACTTATTTTTCCTCCTATTGTTTCACACATCCATGCTTGTACTTTTGGGAGTTACACTTACCAGTTGTGTGGCTAACAGTGTCTGCCTGGCTGCTATTCATCACAAAAATAAAAAAAAAAAATCTCATCTGAACCATGTAAGAATGGCTGTAACTGTCTCACTTTGCCTAATACAGACTCCATGAGGAGTGGAAGAATAAAATAATCATAAGAAAGAAGAGTGGGTTATGTAACCTATACAGTCAAAACTTCAAAGAGCTGCAATTACTGCAACAGAATCTGTCTTTTTGTAGTATTTTGGTTTGGATTGATGGCTGTTTTTCTATGCACATTAATTCCACATTTGGTAACTTGAAGCAGATTTCCTTGCTCAGGAACTGTGCAGTTGTAATCTGTATCTTGAGAGTAAAACACCCCTTCTAAGTCAGCATCTTTAGGGAAAAAGTGTCTACATTTATCTCATAAAAATATGGAGCTGTTCCTAGATCCAGCAAGATGTGCAACCACACCTGAATTCATTCTCTTTCTAAGCTTGGCGAGAAAGGTCTCACTGGGGACAATGACTAGAACAGACAGGTCTGTCACCTGTGTGATATCTCCTGGGCTGATTCTCTCATCCCAGTACGAGTATTTTCACTGAATTTAGAAAATCAAGACTAAATTTTTCAAATATTATTTCTGTGCTCTAAAGGAATAGATATAAGTAAATATTGAGGGCCTGAAGGGAATCTCTGGGGTTTATTAAGGGATCATAAATGACAAAGCCACCATCATGAACCAGAAATGATAGACAAGTGGGATTGTTTATTGCTGTAGTGGAACAGGCTGCAAAATCACTTTAGACAGGGGTACTTTAGAGTAGCTTAATCAGGTTTATGGTATGTAGAAACACAGACAGGCATATGTTCCTACTCCAGCATATGCCATCTATCCACACTTAAAAGGGCCGAGACTGACTATCATTAAGTGGGACTGAAATATATTATAATAACTAACTTTAAAACAAGTATGAATAATAAAAATTACATTCAGGCAACAAGAGCACCTCATTAGCAGCATCCTAAAGCTCATGCAGCCTGACGAAGTGCAGACACTCTCTGGGGTCTGGATCCCGGGGTATTAAAGCTCAGTCAGTTTTACATTTACTAACACAAACATTTTAATTTCCAATGTTATCATGAGACATGCAGTAGAAGTACTCTGCAACTAGATTCTCAAGCAAAAAATGCTTACACAATATTCCTCTGGGCCAAGTGATTACATTCAAATTCTCTCTCTGTCGTATAGTAGAAAATTGCTTTTGTTTTAGTAGGAGATCTTTGTTACCAAATGCAATCTGATAATTCTATTTTCCAAATCAAGAAGCTGTACATTTTCTTCCAGCCACTAAAACTGTTCCAGAAGAAAAAGGTAATCTCATAAAAAGAAATAAAACCAGCAGATAATAGTCCAAAAGAAAATTCCTCATGACAGACATACTTAGTGTCTTCACTACTCTTCTCTCCAAAGTCTGAATTCTCTGAGAGGTGTCTGCAGATGAATCAGCAAAACAACGTATATGAATATCTATTCTTGGTCAAGTATTACTTGAGATTGCATTAATCACTAATTTTATTCCTAACTAAAACAGGCTGGGGATGTCTCCTCAAAAAGGCAGTGCTAATTATTGATATGCAACATTTTGAAATATAAAAGGATGTGGGTATGCGGGCAACAAAATCTTAACTTTCATTTCTTGTGACTACAGATATTGAATTTGCTTTCTCATTACATTTGCTTTCAGATACCAGGTTTGCAGTCAATAACATGAAGAAAATTTGGGGGAAAAGGTATAGAAGAAAGCAAGAACAAAAAGAGGACAAGGTAAAATAGGTCAACTAACATGAAATTACTTGGTTAGAATTTTTGAGTAAAGACTCCTGAAAAAAGTGTTGGAGTAATTGCCCAGCTCCATGTTAGAAATTTTCTAACTTTTCATGAATATCTGTACATCATGTTATTTACTGAGATAAAAAGAAGGTATCCTCTTTATATAAAAATATAACCTGTCAATTTCTTCCACTTTTACGTACAAAATTTTATATACTCACATCAGTTACATTGCTATTTTTGCAATGCTGACTTTTGCAACATCTGAATTTCTAAAACTAGTTTCAAACTTTTTCTGGGGAATTTTGCAGTACATGAATATATCCAGAGATGAAGAAAAGCATAAGTCAAAATAATTTTACAGTTAAGGTTATCTTTCAAAAATATAGTCATGTTATATTGAAATAATCAACTACTGAGGCTACAGTTGAGGCAAAACTAATGCTAAATCAGCCCTTTATTTCTTATGCAAATTGCCATGACAGGCCTCCTTTGGCATTAATAACTCTTAACAATTAATTTCTTCTCAAACCTCGAATTCATTTTGACACACACAGCAGGAATAACTCTATCTCTAACATTTTGGAAAAAAATGCCATGCCATTTTAAAAAAAAGTTATAAAACTACAGTACCGGGATAAGTTAATAAATGGCAACAATCATACAGAGTTACAGAGAAATTAAACACAGAAACACAAATACTCATGAAAGTCAACACATGAATTCTTTCATATGTAGTTTAAATATAAAAAAGAAGAAATCTAAAGTTTCATTAATTATCCTTGAAGAAAGATCATTAAAAATTCATGTAGTACAAAATACATTCCCTACTCTTCTATTAGATGAACAATACAATAATTCACAGACTGCTACATTAAGTGAAAGACAAGCTCATTGCAATAGCAGGTGGTGTCATTATATTCTGCAATAAAAAGAAAACTTCAGATTTTTATGTACTTTCATACTTACTAGAAGACTCTTCTTTTTAGGAGATAAAGAAATGCAAAAAAATGAGAGATGTTCTGATTAAAAATTCCACAATATCAGGCTTCTATAAAATAGAATATAAAATCTGGATTTTTTTATTTAGAGAACTCATTTGGAGTTCCCTGCTTTTCTACAGCTCCAGCAGAATATAGTCCTTTTCACCAGAAAACATTTCACTGGATAAATTGAGAACATGTGATCGATTTCTCATGTCTCCAGGCCTCTGAGCTATATGGTGCTGTGTTCTAAGGTGTTCAGACAGCTACTTCAGAATGGATGATGTAGAAATAGGTCTCAGTACTGTTAAAAATGGTTTGCACTAATTATTTACGTATACTATGTAAGCCCACTATAGCCACTGCTGCTCTGTAGTCCTGGGAAAGAGTAGAGAGCTTGTGAAACCCTAGTCCTGTTGCATCTGGAACACTACAAGTCTTTCTGAACTGTGCTATGTATCAGTATCGTAAGGATTAAGGAATGCATTAGCAGTAATACCAGTAACAGCTTATAAAATGCTTATATTTTAAAGCCACTGCAGATGAGAAGCACTTCATTGAGAATCAGATGTACAAAAATGATAAGAATTTTAAGTCATGAATGGAAGAGAAACTGTGAATGAAATCACAGAGGCTTGAAATTCCCTCAAACACACTGTTGACAGCAAAGCAGAAAGCCAGCCATGATAATACTTACGTCATAGCTTGATAAATGTATTCAATTCCGTAGCGCATTGCAAACTCATCCACAATTTCTTGGGCAGCGTCATCGAAGTACACCTTCCAGGCCTCATCCCCCTTTTAGTCCATTTTTTAATTATTTATTTTTCCAAAGACTGCCTCCAACCAGTCAGCAGACTTGTGATTTAGCACATTGTATCTCCTTGATATAAAGTCCTGTCCATTTACTGGCACAGAAGGACTTCAACAGAAAATAGTGCAGAAACTTCTCTGTTATATGCCCTCATTAATGAATGAAATAGTGATGTTGTAATACTTACTACAGAGCGTTTCAATTTGAATTTTATCTGTGACCAATAAATTTCAAAATTATTATTTAAGTTCTTAAGTTACAGGGAGCTAACGGAAATACTGTAGGTGTCCCTCAAGTTGTGCAAGGTGTGCAATCCCTCAAGTTGTGCAAGGTGTGCAATAAAGCTTAGATTTAGCACCCTTGGGGGCAAAGCTAGGATTTGACATTCATGGCATTGAATGCTTCTCAGATTGCCTAGCTGCATATGTATCCACAAAATCCACAACTCCATATGAACCTACAATATCCAACACATTTTATTTCCTATTTTCAGTGATTGAAAAAAAACCCCTAAAACTTCAAAATACTTTCAGTTTTGCTAATTAGCTCATAACTGTCTCTTGTATTATCTTACAGCATTGAATATTGTCATTTACTTCATAGGTCCAACATTTGCAATTTCAGGTTAAAATCTATCAGCAGAAATGCCCTAAATATCTGATTTTACGAGTGGTGAACAATGGTTTTTGTGGTAACATGTTAGCGGTGAACTTTCAGACATATCTTAGTTATCAGCTTGCAGAAACTACTTTTATTTCCAGAATAGAATTTCTACATGGATCACTATTTGAAGGAAGGGTAATCAATTACAAGGAAAATCTTTCAGAAGACACACCTATTTATCAGTGATTTTTTTCAATGTCGACAAAAGCAAACCAGATGAAAGGAAAATTAGGTATTATAATATCTTTGTCTTACTCTCCTTTTTCTCACTCTCCAAAATATGAATTACTGTAAAACAGAGGTACTCCTTTACAGTATACTTCTGTAATATATATAGAAATGTTTGTATATTTCTGATGTTAGCAATTATATATCAAAGTGCTAAACCAAAAACAGTAGAAGGAGAGTTTATCTGGCTCAACCTCTTTCTAACACCTCTTGGCAGGAACAATCTCTTTGTTGGTCTTATTCTGCCCTTGCCTCTTAACCTGATACTTCCTGAGCAATACAGAATGGGAAATCCAAAATAAAGTTGTCCTGAAGTACAGCAGCAGTTATTTGTTTCAGTGTTCTAATGTTTTGTAGGCTTTTTTCCTTATCTGTGCAACAACTGAACAGTAATTTCTATACTGTATACTATAATTTCTCCAACATACCTCATGTAGACAGGTGTACTGCACATGATAGGGAGCAACTTTCTCCTCTCCTTCAATTTCAACATTGATTTTCAGTCTAATGGCACCAGAGACAGCCGATTTATCTGTTCGCTTTTCTGAAGAGTGGAAAAAGAATACATTAGTAACTGCCAAGAGCACATGTATGTCATATGAAAAGCTTTCATAAATCATTCTGGTTTAATCTTTTTAAAGCCAGGAAGTCCTGTTGTTGAAGACAAGAATTTTTTTCAGTTTTTTAGTTTAGGTTTTTTAGTACCTCATGTTCAGTCCACAAAATAGAATATCTAACTATGAAGTAAAAATCTTATTTTATCTGCCATATCCAAACAAGGCTGCACAGCTATTTATTTACTACTTTCTGCTTTTCAACTGAAATTACTTGAATTTTCTACCTGATAGCTGTATTAAGTATTGTTATTTTCCTTTAGTTATGAAGACTTTACCAACAACCTGGCATGATGTGTTGATTCTGGTAGATGCCCACCAAAGCTGCTCTATCACCTCCCTTCCTCTGCTGGACAAGGGGTAGAAAATCTCATGAAAGCCTCACGGGTCAAGAGAAGGATGGGAAGCAGATCACTCACCAATTACTTCCATGGCCAAAACCAGCTCAACTTAAGTGAAAATCAATTTGTTACCAGTGACATCAGAGTAGAAAAATAAAACCCAGATGATAAAACACACCTTCCCCTCACCCATCCCTTCTTCACAGGTTTACTTCAATCCTGATTTTCTCTACTCTTTCCCTGCCAGTGACACAGGGGGCAGTGAGGGTTCTAGTTTTCCTTTTTAAATCAACCTGTAATGTTTTATATTTTAGAAGTTATACATTGGTACCAAAGCTACATATTTCGAAGCCACAAAGTTAAAGACAGTAAGACTCTAACTAAATTTGTTTGGCAAAATCAGTAAGAATCATACCTAAATTATACCATACATCCATTTCTCCACTCAGTGTTCTTACTTCAATGATTGTTTGCCCGAGAAAGTCATCTGATTCCTTTTTGAAATGCTGTTTTACTCTAGATTTGATATCATCATCTTCATCCCATACTCTTACTTTTATTCTGTCTGTGGAGTTATGACATTCACTGGAAAAAAAAATATAAAACACAAAATATGAGTTTATATATAAACTATCTTACTCTGTACTGCTGTCTAATTCATTAAATTCAATCTCCACACACTTGCTTAACTGCACCAAATGTCAAAGCACAAACTGCAACATCCAGAGGTATAAGAGACCATCCCAGATTGCTAAGGACAAAACTAAAATTACTATATAAATGAGAATTACTATATATAAACAGAATAACTTGATTGAATTATATATACATAGAAACGGTATTTAGGAATGTCAATAACTGCTCATTAAAATTTTCAATTTGAGATTCATATTTCTTCATGCTATTATTTAACAAATATCTTAGGAAAGATACAGTTAGGTCAGGTTTGTTTGCTTAGGAATACCATGTAGTACATACAGTGAACTACCAAAGTAGTAGTCTGGAATAATACAAAAAGCAAGAAAAAAATTAAAGAATATCTCCAGTGTGTGTCAGGAAGCTTTTGTAAAAAACCAAGAAGTACGCACAAACATCCCAGCAAGAAAAGAAAGGCAATCAGAAAAGCCCAGGAAATTAAGCTGCTTTTTTTAAAAGATACATTAATGTTTCTCAAGACCTCCATTCCCTGGTAAGGAGAAAGAGTAGGGACCAGGCCATGTTCTAAAAAAGTTCTTGTAAATTGAAGTGGCTTACTAACCCCTCCTGGGTTGAGTGGATTTAAGAAACTGCTGCATGGATGAGGGAATGAGGTGGCTTCACTTGCAATCTGTAGAGTACACAGTGGTTAAAAATTTTTACTCCCAGTTGCACCCTGCATTTATGTACACAGAGATTGAAAAGAAACTCTATTACTGCTTATTCTGATAAGGCACAATGAGGACTGTTTGCTATTCGCTGGTGAGGGCTTTTGATCATTCTACTGGAGCATCCCAACACTGATTGCAGAGGTTTGGGTTAGTGAAAAGCTTTCTGCTGATGTTTGACTTGTACAGAGCTGACATCAGTTAAATCCATTCTATACCCATGCATCCATATGAAGGATGTTTTTAATATCCATTCACTAGTGCTACACAAATATTTTATATATTACATATCTTTTTTTAACTTTAAATATGACTCTGAAGCATAGCAGCAAATTTTCATCTTCAGCAGGGCCTTACTTTGACGCTTGATTAAGAGTTTTTACTTAAATTCTATTCCAGACACTATCCCTGCTTAGTGATATGTCTCTGTTTTCAGTGTTAAAACAGTAATACTCCAACTTATCTTCCAAGCAGCACCCCTCAGGGGTATTCTAAGAATTAATTAGTGGTGGTAATGGGCTTTGAAAGTATAAAGTGCTGTAAATGGTATTATTACTGTCAAGGCCAATCAGACACTAAAAATGGCATGCACAGCCTTTACTCTACCACACTGTGACATCATTCAGAATCACAGAAATCCTTCTCTCTGTATTCCAGATTTTAACTCGTATATAATTCTGGTAATTAAAATGCACATTTTTCTGTGATTAGCAAAATTAATAAAATACAGTTTCCTTTTGTCTTAAAACTGGCTTCCCTGACATCCTACCAACCACAGTCACCTATTGAATAGTGGGAGTATTCATAAATCACCTCTTGAACTCCTGGTATCTGTTATGGGGTGAGCTCATACTGAGGACAGTCAGGATCTCATCTCTCTCTGACCACATATTTTCAAAGAACAGGATAGACATGCTATTTGGCACTCTGTGAAATTTCTCTGATTGACTGATCACAAAATTCAAAAGCTATTGGCAAGGACATACAAAATATAGGAAGATAGAGATGGATCAAATGAAGATCACTGCCTTAAGAAACAAGCCTAAACCCAGAAACCATTAAATTCTCCTGAAATGTAGCTCTAAGTTACTGTGTAACATTGCTGAAGTCCTGCATTTAGCTGTGCACCCAACAGAAATAACTGACAGGGGATTTCTGTAGCGATGTATATCTGTCACTGGTGAGGTGACAGATATTTATGTGTTTATGTGATCCTCATCACCATACCTGTGCTTTAAATAGAAATCATATTCCTGCTTTGATTCTCTGGCAGATGCTGCATATAAAAAGTCACTGTGTACTTCAGCACAAACATATTTTTATTCTCCTGAGACAACACAAATTTCCCTCTGATATACACTTAGCTGATTAAGAAACATTTATTCAGGTGGTCAAGATGACTGTACTGTTCCCTGATATCCTCAGTTGTCCACAACATCCTTTTTTCCTTTAATCTTTAAACTAATCTCTAGGTTAGTGAAACATGGCGAGACCTGGCAGAACCAATGTGTTAACTCGTGTTCTTCTTTGTGTCAAAACTTCAGCACAGAGTCAGCTGTATGTTTGTAATGTTCCTGTGCAAGATCACAAAAATAGCATGGATTTGTGTTTAAATACTGAAGAGTGGATGAGCAAACATTTCCTCCTGGCCTGCCCTGTGGCAATGTGACTGCAGGGAGATTTACTGCTGAAGTTACAGAGCTGTCTCTGAATGATCCTACTTACCTGCCCAGACTCAGAAGCAGCCCTATGTAATGACATGCATGTTCTGCTTTAGTCACTGCTAACATCTGTCCAGAAGCTCTGGGTGGAATTCCTACTTTTGTTTACTCCAGGATAATCAGCCCAGGGAATTAAAGGCTAGACAACATATGCTAGTTTCAGTGTTTCTCTTCTAGCCGCTGTGTTTTATATGCTCAGTAAAAGCATTCACAGAAGTGTGATACAGGAAGATGAGGCATGAATTGTTCTCTACTACTCAAAGAATGAACGTACTGATACTTCTGAAAACTAGAGAAGCTGCAGTCTATTCAGAGATGCAAGACAGAAGAGACAGTTTTAATAATTTACCAACAATCTGGTGACACTACATTACTTCTGCATTTCCAGACTGCCACACAGACATGAAATAATCCTCACAGAATTCCAGCTTAGTCTAAGGGCTAGAGTAATAAAGCTGTATAATACAGTATCTTTACAACAGAACCCCAATGTAAATTTAGTGTTAGATGCACTGGCATGACCTGATTGTACATCTCCTCTATGACATCTGCTACCAGTGTTAAAATGACAACTAAGTGATGCCGTGGTACCATCAGTAAGTTCAGGAAGCCACTTATTGCTATTATTGTCCCTCATGTTTATTATTATTGCCATTAGTGCAAGCCAGAATCAGATCCATACCATTCCACTTTGTTCTTAGGTGTTCACAGACAGTTCCATGGTCCCTCATGAAATCTCTTCCAGATCTTCATTAATCCCACTATTGGCAAAACTTTTCTGAAGTGTGGTTTAAACCTCTCTAAATGTAATTTGTGGCTATTACTTCTTGTTCTACTATAACAGTAAGCATGGAAAATAGATTATTCCTTTCCTCTTTGCAGGAGAAAGGATGTGTTTAAAGACATCCTTACCTCCACTACTTGTCTCTTCTCTAGTCTGGACAGTCCCAATTCTTTAGCAGTGTTGTCACGGGCCATGCTTTCTGATAAAGTAGAATGAGACTAATTATGCTTTTTCTTGCATTATTTTACTCTGTCATAACAAAAAAAGAGTTGTATAAAATTAATCTGGATTGACAGCAGTTTGAAAAAAAGTCTCAGACCATGCACGTTGTACTTTGAAAAACATTATCACTGAGCACAAAATTTATCATTGCAATTGCTTCTTAGAGGTGGTTCTGCTCTCTTGATTTGGGCTGAGGCTGTGAGATACAGTTATTTTAATCAGCAGAATGTCTCTCAGAAATTTGGCTGATTATTGAAGAATTTTCAGAATGGATGAATCTAGTAAACTAATGTGTAGGTTTTATTACTCAATTTGTTTTATGTAATATAATTCTTTGTAATATACTCTTGCTTAGGAGGCAGTCCTTGAGCTATTTCAACAATTCTGGCAAAACTGTGTTGAGATATGACTGGAAAATGGAGCACCATTTAATCAGTTAACCAATCATGTTATCTTTAGGTACAGTGAGGACCATGTTTTTTAAAAGCCAGTTCAGCAGATCAAGAATGTATAAAATAACAGCTGAAAGGTACTTTGGTGAAGCCCTTTTGGCCACTGACAGTAAATATTGCTTTAAATGAATCCACTAATAATTTATTTCAAAATAAATGTGTGGGTGCTCAGCCTTAAAGTAACTCTAAAGAAAGAACATCTACCGCTGGATGACTGAAATCAGTTTGAACAAATGTTTTCATGCACTGAAGGTAGCAGTATCAATCCAATGAAGGTATTTATTAGAGCCCTTATGCTGTCTTAGTGGCAGCCAAAATAGGAAAAATAAATAATGTAAATAATCATCCAGTTATTTGAAAGACCTCTGTATTATACAATTGTATAATACAGGTATTTCTGAATTGTCAGAGGAAATGTGGTACCTGCAAAGTCAGCAGAGCAATTTGGGCATGGTACTAGCCTAGACAACACCGTCAGAAAAAACAGATTTCTCTGTATTTTAGCAATCAACTGTTGAAAGTAGTCAGGAAAATAATTAGAGTAGACTTTTATTATAGTGCATCAATCTAAAGGTTTCTACAAACCCGAGAACTATACAGCCAAAATATATCTTCCTGTAATTAAGAAAAAAAAGAGAATGCAGTCCCTTTTTCCTGTATTAGACACCACACTCAACCAGAAAAAGAAGATGACAGCTGCAGGACTCTACCTTTGCTCTGGCATTGACAGAAACTCCCCTATCTCTGATGTTTCATTGAAAAAGCCTCCAAAACTTCTCTGTTATCTCATTTCTAATAATGCCAGGAGAAAGGATCAAAGCCCTTAGCACCTATGTTGCATTCATTAAATGAACATCTGCTGGCCTATTTACTTCTCTACCTTGTGCACCAAAAAGCTCTATTTTATTTATGCTTCATGAGGTACCCTGTTAAAATCTATGCCAGTGGCCCATGGCCTTTTAGCAGAGGGTCAGACTACATTTTGTTAGAAACATTCTCTCACTGTTACCATGCAATCATATCTGGGTTAAGTGTGGTTCTAAGAACTAGAACACTGCCCTCACTCCATGTGGTATGGCAGAGCAAATGCACAGAGGGGAGCCAATGTTTTTTCCAAGTCCTTGTTTTGGAACAGATGGGAAGATTTAAAAACATGTTTTGGTATAGCTAAGTATAATATTGTAATATTTTTGAGACATCTTATTTCTGCATTTTATGATTTAAAAGTTATAATGATGGTTAATATTAGATTTTAAACAGGATTTAAATATCAATTACCACTAATAGAGCCTAATTTAAATAATACTTCCTGAATCAATTAAATAGTTGTATTGATCTACTTTAGATTTTAATCTTCTGGTTCAACATTTATAGTTTATTTAATACAATTTAGAATTTCTCCTATACTCTTGTAGTTGAAATCCAAAGCATTAAATAAGCCAGGGAGATTATTTCAGAAAGCACATGTGCTATAAAAAGGTTGGAAAATGTATTTAGTACAAGACAGTTGCTCAGTAGGTTCATGCTATGGTAAGGTTTGGGAGGGGGGTATAAATTTTATTCCTAGGGCGGCATATAATTGGTAATATTTAGTGCTGGGAAAAAAAAAAAAAAGAAAAAAAAGATCAGCATATTTTCAAGTTTCCAGGGATTTCATTGTAGCCCTGCTCACATCTTTGAGAAACTACATTCAACAAACTTCCTACAAAATTTGCTGAATTACTCATCCAATTTTTAACATTACACAATCCCTACGATTAAAATGCAAGAAAGTAATTAATCTCCTACTTTAGGTCACTCAAAGACATTCAGTGATGGATGACACTTCAACTGTTACCAGAGTAACACAGTTAACTCAAAAAGAAAATGCTTTCTGGAGAGAAGAAGCTCGTAAAAAGTTTCTAGGTGTCTGTTTTCTCTAAAATACCTATTCATTTCTAGTACAAGTACATTCTAGTACAAGTGTTTGGAACTGTGAAAGGAATGGCATTCATTGTTTAATTCAGCTAGATTTTCTAGTACCTTTTCCAGAGAAATAGAAGCAGCATCTTGGACCAAAACCCTTTCAAACTCTACTGAAACAATAATGTTCTCCTCAGTGAGGTAGCAGGTTTTGGTCAAAAACCAGGCAAGTCCTAGATAATAAGAAGGTAACCTTATGACATTGCACCTTCTCAAAGGAAACAGGGCTCTATTTCAAATGCCTGAACCCTCACAGAAATTGTTTGCACAGTTTATGTAGATAGGAACAGAGACAACTTTTTCCCGTCTTTACAGGAGGAAAGAAATATGAGAATATGCTAAACAATGCCATTGTACCATATCCTCCACATCTGACTTTTGGAGACAATACTCAGTATTCTAAAAGTATGGACATTACAAACACACCAACCCCATGCCTGGAGCACACCAGTAACTAGTGAACTCCCCAGTCACACCTCAGAGAATCGCAGTGTCAAATAAAAACACATTTACTTTGCACGGTCAGTATCTGACACATAGGAAAGCATTTCTAATGACAATAATTGGTGTGTAAGGTTAAAGCATGAAAACTGTTACTTATGTTCCCTTAAAGATAAGAGTAATTAGGCACCACCAACAGATCCCAAAGATGACTTACTTATGAGCTGCATGATCACTATCAGATAAAGCCACAAATTTTGATGCTCTCTCCATTTAAAACTTTCTAATTTGCTATGAATATGCATAGTACAGACAAAGCATACCTTCAAATTAAGCTCATATTTCACTTGGTAGAGTTATATTACCCAAATGAAGATTTTTTAAAAAAAATAACAGCATTTTCTATACTTACAAATAGAATTTTTCATCCCATACTGGATTCAAATTTCCAAAAATAGTTTTTGTTCTTCGTTTGTTTTTGCCAACTTGCACTGTAACATATGGGTCACTTGAGCCGGTTTTGTCCTTAGCCTGTAAGCCCTGAGCACAAAGAACTGCGACAAAAGGAGAGAAATGTGCTTTAACCTTCATAGCCTTTATTGCCAAGGAGTAAATGAGAGTGACAACAGCAACAGGAAACAAAGGCCTCAAAGTGAGGGATTGTGAAGGAAAGGTTTCTGCATTATTTTCCCAATGTCTGTAACTCTGGAGACTGACAAGGTTCGTCTAACTACCCTTCTGGACTGTATCATATCTTAAAATATAGTTTAATAGTGTAATAAATATAAAGATTCACTACTGAGCACCAAACAAATACTTTTCACGCATAATTCAAATACTTTTCTCAAACTTTGGTTTAATCAAAATTGCAAGGAATTGTTGTATAACTTGTCTTGAGTCTGACGGTTCCCTAAAAATCCCTGCCCCCCAATAAATAAATAAAAATTTCCAGAATTTCTTCAAAGATCCAACATTTCCAAAGGAAAACCTCCAATAATATAAAAAATTTGCCCTGTGGTTTATGGAACTAAACATGATGGGCATGGCTATCATTTGTCATTTGTTCTTTTAAGAGATGAAGCATGATTTTTAGAATATTTTTTATACTACCACAGAAAGGGTGACAGTTCAGATCAATTATAATCAAGTCTTTATGTATTCGCTATCCTTTATGAGAGTTAATGTGGGTGTATAGCTAATAGATATGAATTTAGTGACAAATATAAATACATAGAATTTGATTTTCCACCATAATTCATGTAAGTGGAAATCTCAGGAGAAAGAACTGTCAAAAGCAGCCTACCAAAGCCAGAGAACTGCAGCTAAAATGCTTGCTCTGGTTCTTACCATCCAGCAGCAGTTGGCTTTGTTATTTTGCACATATTATTGAAATCATCTCAGTGGTAACATTTTGTTAACATTCTCTAATGTCAATCATTTTGGATAATGAAGCTCCCTTGGCGTGCTCAGGAGAATGATTACCTAAAAATGGCACCTTGCTCTGCAGATCAGCTCTCGGTGTGGGTTCAGTTGTATGTGCTGACTTCAGAGGAAGAAGTAAAATTCTGCTATTCTTTAACACATCCAATTTCTGAAAGCACTCTTAGGAATGAAATAACATTTTTTCTTCACCATTCACTCTAAACCCACATGGAAACTTTTAGAAGGCAAGGAAATATCCCTCTCCAATTTATGCAGTAGAATTAAGGGACAGCCTAGCAAAAGTCTTCAAGGATTAAATTGTATGTATTATACTGGCCTGAACACAAGACAGCCTTCAGTATCCTTAAGAGGTAGAATTAAAAATAAACATATGAATTAAACATGCCCCTAGTGCTTGGTGACGGTCCCAAAATTCCACAATTATTCTTTAGAGTTCCATGCACCACCTCTCAACCTTCAGAATAGCCTCTGTTTATGATGAGGTTTTAATTCAAAAACTGAACTGTCAAAGTCAGAGCTGGAAATCTTCATGAGCAACCAGGCTAATGCAGTTGGAAGCCATCTGGAATATGTTCAGAGTGAGCAGAATTATGCAACATCAGCATCACTAAAATGAAACACACCCGTAGTCAAGCAAAGTGAATGGATAATAAGTTTCAAACCAATGGGATCTGGAATTGCAAACTCAAGTGTTTTTTTAAATCATTCAAAGCCTGTTTTTTTGTGAACTTTAACTCTTGCAATTGGAGCAAAAACTCATCATTAGCACAGGAGATATTTGTAGGAGGTAGAGGAGATACATTGGTTTTACTCGTCTTCCTTCCTAGAGCAGTAGGATATAAAGTGGCTTTGGCAACTTAAAACTCAACTCTTGCAGTTGGCATCCTACAAATTCAACTGTTTGTAGAGGCACCAAGTATACAATTGAACACACAGTCCAATTCTACTTATAAAAAAATCTTGCTCCTGAACCAGGGGAATAGGCAAGAAAGAGCTCTTAGAACAGAAGAAAATTACCTGTGATAGTTATTTTTGCTGACCATTTGGATGTTCCATCCAAAACACTTTGTTTTGCTGCTTTTGTATATTGTACAAAATCTTCTTTAGAAATATTAAACATTTCCTGGATCACTTCAAACACCTCTGGTCTATTTTTCTCTCTAATCTTCATTCTTTCTTTCATAGCACTAATAATATTCTGTGTTTTGTCTTCTGCACCATGTTTGGAACTTTTCTCAGCTGCTCCTGAAATGAGAGAAAAGGTCACCACAGTTATGGAAAATTCATTTTTTCTTACTCCCCTCTGGGATCTCCAGTCAGCTCTTGGTACAGCAGTACCTGAAGGAGATTTTCGTTTCACCCAATTAATATTTCGTATATATTCTTCGTGATATCTAAAATTATAAGTTGATTTTGTTTAACATGAAGGGTTGATATTCACCTTTTTATACATAAAATTATTTATCAAACCAATACTATTCGGTGCCAATCAGTGGCAACGGATGGAAACATCTCAACATGAATACTAAGCATAAATTTGTGATCTCAAAACTCAATCATTAGACACCATACCTGTGGTATTAAACTTAGAGTCTCTGGAAAAGAGAACCTTTCCAAGAAAATAATATATCACAGGTATGGAACAGAGAGGCTCCCCTCTCCAATAAAATGGTCATTACTGATAATTTCAGTAAGTATATGAGGGTGGTAGAAGAGATCAAGAGATACTATCTGTGTGAGAATACTTCTAGACTGTGTTAGCCTGTGGTGGCATGTTAGGCAGAAAATAATCAGGTAACTTTGTGGGGACATCGTAACCACTACAATATTTATTGGTTTAAATTGGAGAAAAAAATATTTTAAGATGACCAAGCTGTTACAGATCTTGTTCAAAGTTCTTTTCGGAAGGGCTCTGGAGAGATTTCTCTAACAGATCTCAGAGGCCCTTCCAAAAAGCAAAGTGAAGTTCACCTTATAAAATGTCCTTTTTCTGTCAGAGGAACAAGTTTCTGATCAATGCCTCTACAATATATTCTTGATAAAATCTCGAAGATCAGCCTTGCAGTTGAGTGTAAGAAAAGAAACATCAGACTTGTATGATCAGAATGGTAGGAAGCAAAAATTTGAATTCCTGAGGTGCTAAACAGGCTATTTCAACTCTTGATGAGATTAACATATAAAGCAAGATAGAAAAACACTAAAAAATTTATAATCAATGACACACTGCCACTTGCTATAGGCATTGCTGAATTTTGGCTCATGCTGTTAAACACTACTCAAAAGCCTGTGGCACTGAATGCCAGAATCATCATTATCATTAACAGAAGTACTTCACTCTTCCAAAAAGTCATGAAAACATCATCTAATTAGCCATCCTCAAATCCTGGGAGGATTAAAATATTATTGTTACCTTTAGAGGGTTAGCAAAATTAAAACAAAATACTTTTGAACAATATGTTGTGCAATTATAATTTGGATATTTCAACACTGAAGAAGCATAGAGTTCCTTTTTTCACAATACCGTCAAACACCAATATGTTCTTTATGAAGGAGTTTTTGGTGAGGCACTCAGCTCACAATGACTAAAGAAGAAATTATCAACTGTATAGAGCTGGAAAGGGTCCTCTTTCAGCTTAAGATTTCAGTGAAGTGTTACAAACAAATATTACATGCTTCGTTTTCTTCAGTTTTCAATGTCTGAAGGTTTCTTAGCACACTGGAGGGCAACTGATATCTATATAGAGAGAGATGTAAAGAGGGAAGGCATAGTGCTATAAGACTGGAAAAGCCTGGGTTGAAATACCAGATAGCAGTGATCCCAGACTGCCAGAAGGTTGAATTATGCGGCTTCTTCAAGGAGTTTTCCATGGCTACTAAATCTTGAGAAATCTTGAAAATCTCTTGGTCAGAGTACCTAATCTTTCTGAATATGGAAGACCAAAATTCTAGTGATTTAAAATTACCCAGACTGAAAAATTAGGAACAAGTAGAAATAGAATTATGTGCCACCATGAAACAAAATATCAGTTAAAAAATTCTCTAGTTTTAGAGAATTATATTTGATTACAAAAGATATGATTGCTGAGCTGCCATGGGAAACACAATAGGTCATTCTTAAAAGATGCAGGAGGGAACTTTTCATTTTCTGTCCTTCCTTAAAAAGTAGAAATACAACATAACTGAATGATAAATATTGGATACAATCTGAATGGCAATAACATATTCCTGTTAGATACCTTGCTTGTTTTTGAGACATCACAGATAAAACTGAAATATGTTTTAAAATATAACTTGCTTTAAGTAAACATCTTTATACTCATTTATTGCAACTAGTTTTATATCCCCTATTGCTGACAACCTCTACTGCTGTCCATCAACAATTTTTTTCATGCAGTATTGATCAAACTAATTAAGACAATAGAGTAACTTACATTGCACAGGAAGTTAACAAGCTCTTTTTGCCCTAGGGACTGATAGAAACTCAACATGATTGAAATCAATTCTAATTTAATATTGCACCTAGTACGAGAAAGGGGTATCTTGTTGAAGATGAGAGAGCTAATGAAAGTGTTACTGTTTTTTTTCTAAATCTAATTTAGAACAAGTTTATATATTGACCCTAAAGATCTTGAGATGTGAATTAATTTCTACAGTCTACATTAGAAATCATTATAGATTAAAAAAAATAAATCACAGAAGTTTGAAGGCCAATACATCCTAATGATTATGAGATGAGCAAAAGGATGACTATGATGAAAATAACTATATTTCACTTTATGACACTGTTAGCATCAGCTTTCTCAGAAATAGAGGTTTAACCAGTCGGTCAATTCATTTTTTCAGTGGAAAACAAGGAACACAAAATTTTCAAAGTAGTATACTATGAACACTGAACAATTAATCTGTTGCAAAAAATACAACAGGATGCTCAGAAACTTTTGCATCCTAATGAGAAGAGTGGGATCCCTTATGTATGTTAAATATTTTAGCTGTAATTTGTCTTTTAGAGGTTTTGCTCTTTTAAGACTCAATGTTCAATGTTTTCAAGGTGTTCATACTACAGCTGACTGACAATCTTATTTATTTTTTGCAAGCTCTCAGACTTATTATTCTGTATAATATCATATGTGTAAAAATTAATCAAATGCATCATTACACTCTGAATAATTTTTTAATGCTTTTTTTTTGGGGGCTGGTGGTATGAGCCAGGGGACAACAGCCTAGTTTCAACCACAGTGCAGAATCACAATTAAGCAGTTAGGGAGTTTGATTTAGAAATTCATCACTGATTTTTTCTCCATGGGGTCAGCTGCTGTGGGAAATTTTAATTAATTCCTGAGCAGTAGAAACCTTGAGCATCCATCCCTTGTGATAGCTTCTCACACAGAGAACACAGTGAAAAGAACCAAGAACTGAGTAGTTCTGGTAGAACTGATATCTATGGAGTTTTGCCACATGTAGAAGCTGTGGAACATATCAACAGTGAACAGTGTTGAATAACTCCAGAGTATGGAATCCCATTCCATTCCAAAATCAGAATATCAGAAAACTTGCAGGTCTTGATTTTCTATTGCTTAGCATCTCGTATAATAATTGTGTTGTAATTTAAGAACTGTTTAAATACAGCTGATATATTTTCACAGGATGGTGCATGGTGGCTGGATCTAAGCTGAGCAAGGAAAAAGCAAAGGTTGTTTTGCCTTAATTCTAGTGCCAAATGGCTTACTGACTAATTTTTCTTTCCCTTACACATAAAGGGTTTAGTATTTTGAAGGGACAAGATCCTACTTACTGTTCCATATTTTTGACTAATATATAGCACATCAATATGACTACAGTAAGTAGTAGGAATATTTTTGAATATTTCCTTTGACCTTTTTTGTGTTTTGAGTTAAGTAAAACAAAGAGAGTTTACGTCAAGTAAAAAATTACTCCAGATATTGCCATAGGCAGTGGAAGGTAAATAATTCACTAATGCTGGCAAGCATTATTTTGTAAATGCCCAGCAACATTTGACAGATTTCAAGGACAAAAACAAAACTAACAGTAGGTTTTCCATAAAACTTCTGGCTAGCTTCTCAATTGAGGAGCAGCAACACATCTTCACTGATTTTGGGTGATCTGGTCCCTCATTTCAAGAAACTGCTGTGCATACACAGAAAATCAAAAGGTGTGAATTAATACAGCACTTCAGCTGTCATGAAATACTCACTCTGCAAACAGTCAGCATTTAGGAGGTCTTGGCACTTCTCATGGCATTTGACACCACATTCAGTGCATCTCATGCCTTGTCTGGCTATGCCCCAAAGGAGGCCTTCACATTCATAACAGTATGTGGGAGTTGTAGCTGTCCAAATTTCAAAGTTATGAGGTGTAGTTGATGATATTGGATAGATCAAAGCCTGCAGGGTCTTCTTGAAGACATGCATTTTCTGTTGGACAAGAAAAAAAATACTTCAGGTTTATTGTTTAACACAAGTGAACTGTTTCTAAACCATATGCCATTTACACTTAAAATTTTACAAAGTATCAGAATATACATAGAAGCATAAAATAATTTGCAAAATCCTGATTCACTCATTTTGCTTTACACTTTGAAAAGAACTCTGCATGACTGTGTTGTCTGATTACACAAACAGTAAAGTTGCAATCAAGTTACTCAATTAACACATAGCCTTTTATATATATTTTTATAATTTGAGGCAGAAAAAAAAAGCAGCATTACATTCATTGGGGCTTCTTAAGTAGCTAATTAACATTAATTCTGAATATTTGAATACTTCCTATAGGGACTTAGACACACTTCACAAAATGCCCAATGATTATATAAAACACTATAATACCAAGTGTCTATATAATCTCATCAAACAAAAGCAAGCCAATCGTAAATCATAAAATTTCATTTTATCTATATTCCTATAACAGCATACTTACTACTTCATTTTTAAAGCAAAGTTGCTTTTTACTATAGACAAGAATGATCCATGCTCTCAAAATTCCAAACCCATTTCTTGGACTGTTTTGGTTTAAGACCCATGACAAGCTCTATTACAAGAGCAGTTATTGGCTTTTTACTGATTGTACTGTAACAACCTCAGTCTCAGCTCCTCAGTGTTTAATAAGATGAAAACAAAGCAGTGCCAGTAATTTTGCACACCAGACCTTGGCTTGTATGGGCACAGTGCTCTTGATTGTTTGTTTGAACTTTTTTTCAGGCATCCTGGTCTTCTAGGTCCAGGCAATTTATTGGGAATAAGAAGAGCTCAGCAGCTGCAAGGCAGCACTTGGCACCAAGTTTAGGCTGTTTGTGTCTTTTTTAGGGATGGGTGTTCACTAAACACGCACATGACTGCCATGAATGTATTAGAAGTTCTAGATTCATTCCCTTATAAGTGAATAATTGTTTCTTTTAGAAGGAAGAAACCACATTATAAAACAAATCACAGTGGGATATTTCTGAAAGCCTGTCTGTCCTACCTTGTCCTCCTCTGGTGTGGATATTATGCAAGGAGCTCTAATGCTGGCTATACAGCTGTAGCAAGGGAATAAGATTTTGGAATTTGTGTGGTTTGTCTATTTTTGTTTTAACATCACTGCCACAGTTCTGACAGTATAGGAAGCAAGCCAAACTTATTCAGTTAAGCATTTGTTAACACTCCCTTATCTTTAATATCCAGCTGTGGCAATTGTATGTCAAATGAAAGGTATTAACCTGTCTAAAAATGTGCTGACATTCTTGGTTTTATGTACCTGCATCTCTACTCAAACTTGTGAGATATTCTGCTAATAATAGATTGTCTGATAAAAGTAAAATATTCTATTTGTGTGCATATCTGCATAATGTTGCAGAGTGTCAATCAGAGGACTTTTGCTACCATGGGAAAACCAGTACCACGTAGCCATATGGTAGCCACTGCTTCAGAGAGTTAAGCACAAAAAATACCAAAACCAAATGTTAGGTAGCTTAGGCTGCAACAGCTCTTACTGAAGTTAGTAGTTACTTCTGAAAACAGTATCCATCCTGTAAAGCCTGGCTAAAGATATTTCACAGATTTAATCTGAGCACATCTGAGAACGCTGTAGAACTGAATTAAGAAAAAACCCCGATACAGCAGGAAAGACTAAAACAAATACTGAATTGCTCTCCAGGGTGCTTCTTATCTTATCCTAATAAACTTCCCTGAAAGCAAGCAAAGGTGTACACCAGTTTGATTTGGCAGACCCTAAGAACTGTGATAGTAACCTAAGTCTGGCCACCTAACTCTGGGGAACTCATTTTTTAACATTACTCCACTTTTGCCTTCCATGTTACAGGGACCAGAAAAGAAACTTTAAAACAACCTAAAGTGAATTTATACAGCTTGCTGAGGAATCGGATTTCTCAGAAACCACTGATTACCCTCTCCCATTCCTGAGCTCATGTAGCCTCAGTACAAATCTTGCCCTTTCACCCTGTCCAGCTTCAATATTTCTCACATTATAAATACTTTTAGAATTTTGCCAGTAACTTTTACATTTTTCTGAAATGTCAGTAAGTAATGAAATTTACCCTCAACAGGCCTTAAAATAAACATTTGAGGGTAAACAAAGTTTTCAGCTGAAAGACACAGTTTGTAGATTGGTTTTGTTGCTGAACGTGTTCTTTCCCCTGTTGTTAATAAAGAAAATTGCAAAGGAGAATTTTATTTCTCTTACTGTCTAGAGGCTTTCATTTCTATTACTCTCCTCAGTTTAAATGTTTTTGTTATGTGAATTACAGAGCATAACAACATGGCACTAATAACTTCCAATATAACTATACAACTAATTGGTTTGGCAACATTTAGCACTACTAATATATAGGATAATTATTTAGTTATCTGCTTATCCTCTGAAGGGAAATTTATTTCTATCATATACTATTTGAAATACTTGTCTATGTCATTGATGTATAATTTTCAAAAATGTATAGCTCTTTGTTCAACAAAGCAATTGAATGGGTACCCATATGACAGCATATAAGTAAAATACTGACAATGTCTTTGGATCCGTGCTTGAGAACACACAAGCTCACTGTGCCATGAGTGTGTTGTACCAAAAAGATAGCAGTGACAGGTGGCAAAGCTCAAAGCCTTAACCTCAGGGTGTAATTTTTTGAGTAGGTGGCACTTGAGTTTAAATAAAAGGCATTAGTTCAAAGAAATTTCATACTGAATCTAATCAGCCACATAACCCACACCCACCAGAGTCACCAATATTCCCTCTAGAAAAACTTGAGGGATGTTAAAAACTAGAAAAGCCTTAATAAGAGGAATAACTTGCCCAAAGGGGATCTTTTTTCCTTAACTTTCATTGGTGACTCCATTTCTTCATCTGCATTTCACATCTTCATTTTGTGGAGAGTATCTGGAGACTTCTTTTATGCCTGAAAACCCTTTTTGTTTTCAAATCTTGCTCATCAGTGTAATGATGCCCAAGGTTATTAAATTTGGCTGTCTACTTGGAGAAGTAGAAAAATAGTGCCTATCCCTTGTTTTAAATATCTTGCAAGAAGCTTTACTGGTTGTACTCTTATATTTGTCTGTGAAAGAGCAATCGCTGCCCCTTGGTATGTGTAGTGAGGTCTGGCATAGGACTGGCTTCTCTTATTCACCTCTACTCTCAATTAGCTTTTTACATTTTCTCATCAAATGAACTTTCATGTGTCTATTTTGCTGTCATTTGCTGTCTGCCCTTGGACTTAAATTTTTATTTCAAGATTTCTTAAGAAATCACTACTTCTGGTACACTGTTTTTCATATGGCATGGCTCAAACAGAGTCAAAAGGATATAGAGTTATAAAAATACATTTAAATGAATTTCCCCTTTCAATTTCTCCTGAATCAGAGTTCAGTAGTTACTTTGCTTGATACAAGCATTAGAGACATGTTTGCACTCAGCTGCTCACTGGGATTTGCTGCCTTTTTTTTACTCCTTAACAGGACCATTTATGTAAGAATCTCTAAGGGTGGTCCAAATTATTCTTTCTTTTCCTGCATTTGTTGGCAATTAGTATTATCTCCAACACTTGCAACTCTAGCCCTTTAAAGTCAGAGCCTGGTTGTTTTTACATGAGAGGAGGCATGTAAATTAATGGATGAATCTATAATTTTTGTCATAAAAGGTAGTAATACTTATATACAATGTGGTTTGTTTAGTAAACATCTTTTAGTAAAGTACATGGAGTATTTTAGGGTCTTTTACTGAATTCAGTTGTTTTGGTACAAACTATAACAAAGTTGAAAAAACTCTTATTTTGTAGCACTTGGATGCCCTAAGTTTTTCTTCTATAATTTTCCCTCAGCCTTGAACTGTTTAAGATCCCATTGTTCTCCGTTCTGTCAACCTTTGTTACTATTTTGAGATATCAGAATAAAAAAAACAACTGCCCCTACTGGAAGAACATTTCAACCACCAGCTGTTTTCTGCCTCACCAATCCATCTCTAAACACCACCAAATCACAGCTTTATGATTACCATATAAGCACAGAAAGTTCACAATAAACCAGGTAAGATTGATGCATGTTAATATTTGTGCTACGTGTTCCAGTTCCCAGAACACCCGTCAGCATTTTCTGTTCTCCCATTCTCCTGCTATGGACCTTAACAACCATGTAAGAAAATTTCAACTCTTTATTTTTCTTCAGAATAGGATGTATTTTAGAAGGCTATGTATGCACTAGCAATTTGAGGGACACAAAATGGGCCTGCTTTTCTTCAAATTATTGCTTTTTTTTCAGTTCAGTTATATACATCTTGCATCACACTTTAAGTATTCCTGAAAAAAATGGCATCTGCTGTGTTTCTGTTCAAAAAAAGTCCTTTTCCAAATTTAAGTGAAATCAGTAATGGAAAACACATTTTACTAGCTATGACTATGTTTTTTCAAAAGACTCTTGTGGTAACTTCTTGCATGAATTAAATATTTCTTCTAGAATCACATATATTATTAGCATGAGTTACATTAAAAAAATAAAATGGTATCCCAAGGACTGGGAAAAATGATCATCTTGCAGAGCCCTGTCATTCTAATTGCACTCAGAGTGTGATGAAGATAGAAAGATGATGAAAGACTGTAGGTAAACATGGTACAGTTGGACAACCTAAAACAAAAGGCTTCTCCAGAATAACTGTTTTTTAAATCAAAGGTCTCTTGGTTAGTCCGTTCTGACTGTCATGGATATGAGTCAGCAGAAGCAAACCTGGTTTTGCTACAGTGGATCAGGCAGCAAATTCTGCTGAAGTTATATGGAAGTTCCTACACAATAAATAGAATACACTCCATTTCATTCAGTTTGGGGTGTGTAAGGCTGAAATAAATTTTAGAGATCTTTGGAAAAAAATTTCTCTGTTACTTAAAATTCTTAAAGCTGTCATTGAAAACACTTACCATTTCATCAGTGTTTATGGAGGTCCGGATGAGCATGGCCATGGAAATACCAGATTTTCGAGCTGCAAGTGTCTGTTCAAGGCAAATGCAAAAGAGTTACCAATTATACAAGTAACAACTGCTGTTGAATCTAAAGGAAGGCAAACAGTACTTGATTATGCTACTGGATGTAAACAAAACTCTAGAAGATACAGAACCTTTTAGTTAATGTTTGCAGCTCACAATTCTTAGGGTTTCGGCACATAATGGAAGTACACTTTCCATCATCATTACTGTTTCTTTCAACAGTGACAAGATGAACTGACATTTCTAATACAAAACCTGTTATTCAGAGGTTTGTGACTCAGTTTTTTTAAACCACAGGCTGTCACTGTTTTTCCGCTTTGCCAACCAAATTAATGTGGTACAAGGATAGGCATCCTGCCCTAATTTGGAAGCTGACTGTGCCTGCAGCAACAAGGGAGATCATTTTGCAGTAGTCTTATGGTTCAAGTTGACAGTCTGGATAATTTTTTGTAACTCACTGAACATTTTTAAACAGTGTGTATGTATATAGAATGCTACTTAAATAAAAAGACCTCAAGAAATCTTAAAGTATTATTTTCCTTAAAGACAATATTAGTTCAATGCTATGGATAGCTATATGGAGAAATACTCTGGTTATCTGAGAAAGGAAAAGAGACCAGAGCTCCGTGTCAATCTGTCCTCATTTCGCCACATGATGTTACTGGTATATGGACAACTTCTGGTTCTGAAGACAATGCACTTGGTTGTAGAGATTAACTCTTTTGCTCTAGTATGGTACATACAAAGGGACTCAAATGAAAGTAATTTTAATACACAATAAACAAGGAAATTTTATATTCCTTACTGAAACACTCCAGAAATTTAAATGGGTCCTTGAGAATTAACTAGCGAGTATAATGATCAGAAAGCACCCTGGGGGAATGAAGTCTGTGTGTTTTACAAATAGTATTTCAAATCTGAATATCACTTCTGCTATCAATAATCCTTTTGGCCTGACAGAGCAGATGAGACTTATTCCACTGTGCACAATATTAACCATAACACCGTTATATTACTGTACTACACCTGCAGTGTTGTTTTCATTCCTCCTTTCGCTTATTCTAAATCATTCCAAGCGTGTTTGTACACTTGTGTCTTATCTCTGTTCTTCTATCATCCACTGTCTGCTTTGTCATGCTTTGCTGCCCTCACAGTCTAGCAGTGTATGGATCAATTATACCACCCACTAACCATAAGTCTGTTGTTGCCTTTGTTGTGAGGATACATGTTTTCACCTAAATGTAAAGTGGGTCTCTGTAGTCCCTTACTACAGAACTATTACACTGAAAGTTTAAATTATACTTTGTGTGTGACATTCTTATTTTTGTGAAACACATACTGGGCCAGAAGCAATTTAGGCTTACATCAGCAAAGGAACTGCATCATTAATCTCTGGATGAAGAGACAATTCCAATTTCTTCCAATTATATAATTTTAAACACTGGAATATTTAAAATGGATTTCTATTTATTTATTTATGAGACTGTTCAATTTTAATTTTAAATGTTCACTTTCCCTGATTCAATTTTCAATAAGTTTCTCTTGATAATAATTAAACTTGCAGACTGACACAGAATTATTAATCTTGTGTAACCAATTATAGGGTAAGAAATCATCCTTGGTTTAGCTGTATTCAATTCATCTCTGTCCTATTACAAAGAACTCTCCTTTTTTTTTTTCTCTTTTAAACTCAGCAATTTACCAACTCTATGCCATTAATTTTCTATCAGACTCTCCATTCTGTTACTATTAAGTAAATAATTCTGTTTACTTCTCTGTTACCACCCTTTCATTCTATTTCTGTGAATGTGGGTAATTCCATGGGTGTATGACACTGAGATTGACAAAGTTACAGGAAAGAATAAAGTGTTCAGGCTTTGTTTTTCCACATTGTTTGTCTCAAAACCCAATGCTACAAAACCCACATATCAAAGTTTAAAATGACAAGTAAAAATGCTTTTGCATCATTAAGAGGAAAATAAACAATTTCCATAATCAGTTGAGTTTTGGGTTTTGAAACAATGTACTTTAAAAGCATTGACCTTTTGATCCCTCTTGAAGCACAGTTTTTTCCCAAAGTCTTACCAAATACCCATGTAGATTTGCTTGCCTGGACTGTACCAGTTTTATAGTTTTCATGTCCCTTACACTTAGGAAGGGATTTGACCTTTTTAGGTATCAATTGCACAATCCTGGCCATTCCAAGCAATAGAGCAATGTGAACAACTTGTCAGGACAGGAGAACAAAAGGCATAAGAACATTAACCTCAAATATAGGGCAGTGACTGCTGCTGTGTTCTGTCCTCCAGCAATACCAAAGAACACAAGGCAGCAGAACTGCAGTTTTGTGCTATCACTAAGTCAATAAACAAATACTATTTTCTGTGAGAAAAAAAAAAAGGGGAAGCAATTTTGACCCCGTCACATGTCCTTCAAGCCAGGTTTTCCCAAGGGGTGCCCTTGGAATCATGGAGCTTTACTATTTTGCTTCTTAATCAGAAGTGAGTTTGAAATTATAGTGCAGTGCCCTATAGAAAATAACAAAACCTAATAGGAAACAGATAATTAGGCTGTTCTTAATAAAGTGTTTGTCATGTTGGAAGAAAGCGATATCTAGAGGGAATTGTGAAAAAACAGTAAATTGAACAGTCATATGGATTAAATTTACACGGGTTTTAGTAAAAAAACAACCCACAAGGATTATTACAATTTATGTACCACTGTCAGAAGACACTACTTCTACAAGAGAAAGCTCATAAAATGCTTCTGTTCTAAAACACTGAAGTTGGTGATAACAGCATTAAGCACTGAACACATAGCACTGTCACTTCATAAGTATGGAATGAAACAAGGAGGAGTGAGCATTTTGGAAAGAGAAAGGGGAAAAAGCTGCCAGATTTATCTGTGGGAAACAAAGTGACAAGTTATGAAGTAACGAGAATTCCCCTATTGCCTCTCTGTTTCCAAGTAGCAGCAAGAAAGAAAGGTAAGTGCAGCTCATCAGCTGGAATTTCCAGGAAGTCCAAAATGTCAGAGCATCAAAAGAATATGGAGAGCAACAGGAACCTGCAGTATTTCACCTGTCTTCTTTAACAGGACACAGAACTTGTCAGCAGTTTATACTTGTTTACCCTCTCAAACTGATGTCCGGATACTAACTCATGTCTGTCTTTCCTTAGGTAAGAATTTGACCTGCAGTGCATAGATACTTTACATACTGTTAAATTATGAACATGTGAAAAAAAAATTATCAAAAACAAAAAGCCTAGCAAAAACCTCAAACAATAAGAGAAGATGACAAAGCAGACCATTGTCTATTTAATTTTTAATTTGTTTTGCAACTCCTTAATACAGGATTTAAAATAAATTAGTCTCCTTTATTCTCAAGGCCTTCTAGATTAACTAATAACTTGTATCTACACTAATTTATTACCTCCAAATTTTTCTTAGCAGCTTAAATAAATAAATATAATTAGAAGTCATTCTAGCAAAAACACTGAAAAATGGTAACCATAAGTAAAAGCAAATTGGAATCAAGATACAATTACATGTTAAATGATCAATTGTGTTGAGGAAAAAAAAAAGGAAAGTCCTATATCACAAAGAAATAGGCAAGCTGTGTCTTGCACAGCTAAAATAGCACAGAGGAACAAACAGACTCATGTAACTGTTCATGACTGCTAGCTGTGCCATGCAATACTCATTCCTCTGCTTTTACAGAGGGTTTTGGTTTTCCTGATCATCTTTTTTCCTTTAAAAAAATCTATCAGCAGGAAAAAAAATTGAAGACAAACCATTTTTTATCACTTTACAAATTATATTATTTTTAATGTGATGTAAAAGTTACGCACTAGAGGTGAATGTGACAAAAATTTCACTGTTTACAGCATTTAAAACCTGCACAATTTCATAACTTTCTTTTTGAGCAACTGCATGTATATCACTCTAGGGATCTCAACTTCATTATTTTGGAAGACAGATTTGTACCATTTCTTGTGGTGCTGGGGTGGAGGTGGGGTAGGACAGAAGAAAAAATTACTTGACAGGAAGTAAGGTACTGAGGGAAATTGCTTAGCCCTGCATCATATTTTTTCTATTAAAAAGGTTGATGCCTAATCCTGAAATATTCAACAGGACTGCAACATTGAGCCCAGAAAACAGATTTAGAAAAAATGACAATTCAGCCCTACTACACAATCATTATCAGACATAACTGTAGTAACATTTGCTTTTTCTTAGTATCTTTAGCACAGATACAAAAGCATGATCTGTCCAGCCTCAAAGATAATTATATTGTTATGATTTTCATTTAGTAGACTTGAAAAAGCCCTCACAGATATATAAATACTTACTATTTTATAATTCATCTACGTAATGTATTAATATTTTTATTAGGAATATAACTGAATTTACCTATCAATGATTAAAAGAGTTAAGAAAATGGACTGCTGATAGCAGAATTAATGTAAAATAGTCCAGGTATTTAGATAACATACAAACCCAGAGAATATGACATCTGCAAATTAAATAAATATCTTCTTTACATGAATCTTTAAATTACCATATTTGAATTCCAGCCTGTATAAATGTTTTTACTGTGGAGACACAGAAAAAAGTTTCAGTCCATTATCATTTTAGCTGAAACAGGCAGTTGTTTCATCTGGTGTGTTCACTTCAACAGACTGCTTTAAAACACCAGCAAAAATTCACAAATTATTCTTGTGTTCTTATAATAAAATAATAAAGCTAGGGATCAATACAGTCTTGATTGATCAAAAGAAGAAATTTGCCTGGTTACAGTGATTATAAAGTACAGAATCACCTTTAAATTGAATAAACACATGAATTCATAACATTCAAAATGATGACTGGCATTAAAAGAAGCAAAGACAGTAAAATAGAGATACCTTTGGCTATAGCTGAGCAGATCACCTGCCATACTTGGCCACTCTGAGTTAAAAAATTTTAGCTTCCACTGTAATTATTGATATTTCTCTCCTTGGTTGCTCCCACCTCAGCTTAAGCCCTAACTAATCCAAAAGAGAATATCTTTTTTTAAAAGCAGGAGTTACAGCAATTCCATCGGCAAGTGCACTGGAGTCTTTTTCCTGTCTCCACAGTAAACAAGAGATCTGCTCATGCTCTCTGTATTGTTACTGCACTTGAACCATCCCTTCTCCTTGCACTGTCTCTCTCTCTCCTGTACTGGATGTGTTCTACCAGAAGTCTAATAATAACCCATGACTGCAGCAAAGAGAACTGCTCCTGCAGGTGAACTTTGACTCCCTAATCCTCTCTAATGACTGGATCTAAAATAAGCGGAGACTCTCAATGCATTTGCACACAAAAACTTTTCAGTGGTTTAGAAGGAGGAGAGCACCCAAAGGAGGGCAGTGAAGATGGTGAAGGGTCTGGAGGTGAAGCCGTGTGAGGAGCAGCTGGAGACACAGGGTGTGTTCAGCCTGGGGGAGACTGAGGGGACACCTCACTGCAGGTACAGCTCCCTTGGGAGGGGAAGAGGAGGGGCAGGCTCTGATCTCTGCTCTCTGGTGACAGTGACAGGACACAAGGGAAGACCCTGAAGTTGTGTCAGGGGTGGTTTAGGTTGGCTGTCAGGGAAAGGTTCTTCACCCAGAGAGTGTCTGGGCACTGGAACAGCTCCCCAGGGCAGCAGTCACAGCACCAAGCCTGACAGAGTTCCAGAAGTGTTTGAACTCCCAGGCACTGGGTGTAACTCTTGGGAATGATCCCGTGCAGGGCAGGGAGCTGGACCTGATCATCCTTGTGGGTCTCTTTCACCTCAGCATATTCAGTGCTTCTGTGTTGAAAATTGGATTTTTCAAAATGTGAATTCATTGAAACAAATGGGAGTCAGAGAAATCATCTTAAGAAAACATACAGAATTTGGACAAAACATATTTAGATAAAATGCTGAAAGCATGAAATAATGAAGTGAAACTGGAAGCCCAGAGGGACTGGAAAAGTAAGGAAAAGTATATCTGATTGATAGAAGAGAATTTAAAAGTAGGGAACACTGAATTTCTCTTTCTCTAGGTGTCTATGACTTTCCAGTACCACAGGGGAAACGTCATGCTTGAGACCTAAACATCATACTTGTATCATCAGGAAAGATATTTGGAATAAACTGATAACTTTTTTATATAAACTTTTTCTAACATTTTCAGTATACATGATGCAGAGAACACATTCACATAAGGCGCCACTTCCCTTATGATTAAATTCTTGGTTGTAAAATAATTTTTAAACTTTCCAATACAAGGTCATAATAAAGCTCTACAGAAATGGAATAAATAACAGTTACTATGACCATTTCAGAACATTTGTAAATATAAAAATACTTACCATAGCCTTAAGAATCCAGACAAGATAGGAAAGAAATTATAAAGAATATTAATTTGTCAGATTTATCATGCAACATAGAAAAGATGTTTATCTTAGCACCAAAAGAGTCTAGCACTCATTTCTAACAATATTATTTCTTTCTGCAGCAGTCATATGTAAGCTTAAAAATGATTTACACGTATTTTGATGTATTAATGTATTTTGTGCTATACCTTTCTGTCAGCACTCCCAACAATTAAGAATAAAGCAGAGTGTCATTTAACATGCATTAAAATGTCATGGCAGGACAAGGCTATACTCATTTAATACAACTAATGGTGGAGTGGCTGCTGTCAAAAAGATGGTTTAAATAAATGCAGGCTATGCTGTTGTGTACAGTGTAATTTTTCATCAGTTTTGGAAGGAATTCTACTCTAAAATGGTTGCTCTGCTTTCTCTATTTAAGTGCTCTAACAGTGCAGTGGATCACCACAAAGTGAACACAGAAACTGAGAAAACATTGAGCAATAATTGGAAAAAGCTGATCCTTTAATGACAACAATAGTAATCATTCACTTAGCCTAACACCCAATCACTGCTTTACAGTGAGAAATTGATTAGGGGGCTCACTGTCATCGGAGACTAAATATGTATTTTACTGAGTTATGAATTCTATACTATAGGAAAAGAAAAAGAGAAATGTGACTAGCACTTGAAATTCTTTGGTGCAGAGATACTTAATCTTGTTTAGACTAGAAGTCAGAATAAATCTCAAAGGAACTGCCATTCTTTTCCACTTTGAAATTTCTTTTCTTAAATTATTCTTGTTTTCAATGACTATTAAGGACTCTGAGAACATCACCTTGTACCTAAAATATGCATAAATCTTTAAAATATTAATACCGAAAAACGGCTGCTTTTTAAAAGGAACTTTCTCTTTCAGTATCAAAATAAATCAAGTGAAACAGTATGCCAAGCACTCAACAGCATCTTTGTGAAAATGAGTAGATTATTATTGCATGAAATGCACAGTACTTGATTACACAAGTAATACCTAAATATCCAGTGAGATATTCAGACTTACCTAGTACATTGTAACAACTGCCTCATTGACTTTTACTGCTTTCATTCCATTCTCTCATGACTCCCTTTTTCCATAAAACAACTGTCGCAGACTGTCATTCACATGCAAAGTAGTAATTACAAGAAAGACCTACACAACTGACTAATGAATCAACAGTTTCACAAATTACTCACCACATCTCGAACAATGGGAAAAGATTTCTTTCTTCGCAGGTCTGGCATACTGTCAATTCCATACAGTCCACGGCTGAAGAAGATAAAAAGGCAAAGAAGAAAATAAAAACATGGAGCTTACAAGACTACATCCTTAAGAACTGCTTATAATATCTCTATTTACAGTTAAAATCAAAATTAGTAGTTATCAGCCAAAGGAAAGTGCTCCAATTGAAAAACCAGTGTGAGGGTTCAGTGCATTTCCTTCTGGCATTCACCCAAAGCAAAGTAGCCAAAAGGTTGCTTAATACCTGCTAAAACTTTTTAACATTGATTTAGAAATTAAAAGAAGAACTTTCCATCATAAGTTCTTGTATATCTGGTAGATGAGATTAGATTATGGTAATGGGAGATTGAGCCCAACATTACATATTGAACATCATTGATGTAATGAATATTGTTGTATTAAATTTGATACAAAGTTTAAAGTATCTAGCTAAATACATCTCAAATATGACTGTGGAAAACAGAACTTATCACATTTTAAAATAATTCTATAGTGACCAAATTTAAAACAACACATATTGATCTGGATAACAAATTGGCCTCAATCTCTCTGACTCTTCCAAACAATTAACACAGGTATCCTCCTGAACTTTTCCACAGAGGGTTTTGGAAGATCTCTATATACCTTGTCAATTCTAACTCAGAAGTACTTGGAAATTCTCAGAGAAGCTGAGATATCAGCTTTTTCAAGACCAAACATTTTCCATTCTATGGTCCTTTGTTTGGCACTGTCTCAAATACCTTTTTCAGTTCTTAAATTTCTCTCTGTCTCTGTGTATATAAAAACTACATCCACAACAAAGAGTTTATCATCTGAAAGCCCTAAATTTATTTATGCACGTTACAATTATTATGTGAAAAGAATTTTTCACTCCTTTCTGATGCACTGGCACCATTGTCTAAGAAAGGGAAAAGAATTCATAGTCTGTTTATGCAATTCTTTTATATTTTCACACAATTATTTTTCCATGCCAGGTTGTGAGACTAGAATTTCTTTTTTCAGTTACATAAAGATCAAAGTAGACCCAAATTGCAGCTTCCAGACATACTTACAAACCCAGCAAAAGTGTGATAGAAATAAAATAACATTTCTGAGGTTGTGAAAAGTAAATGTACAGAGATCAAGAAAGAAACTCAGGGCTTTTTGCTACTCAGGAGCAGTTCCACCAGCAGTAAATAAAAATTATTGTGTATAAGGCATTCTTATGCTCACACAGAGGCAATATCTGTAAAACTATTTCCATCTATTATTCTGTTCTCTAACATAAAAATATGACTAAAATCTCACTAAACTTCTTTTACTCATCACTAAGAACATAGCAATGGAAAAACTTTTCATGTTATTGTAGGTTATACACCAAATTCTCTAGTCCCCTATCTACTTCCAATTATAACCCAACAATAATTTGACATAGAAGATGATGAAGTGGAATCATAATAATCTGACGAAAATGATCATTCAAGGCAAGGAATAAAAACCTGTCATATTGATTATTTTTTGGTGCTTCTGGAAATATTCTGCCTAACAGTAATATATGTGAATTTGTCAGAGAAATCAAGAAAAATATATTTGTTTTACCACAGAGAACATGCCACTGAAGGAAAGGAGGAATCATCTGCATGCAGTACCATCTGTGTATTGTTAGCAAATTTCAGAATGGATTAGGCCATGTGGTAAAATTATCAGTCTCTGACTCCTCATTAGGCAAGCAGTAAATTAAAGCAAGAGGGTCTCTGGAAAAAGTAAAACAGTACCACCCAGGATCCATATACATGATGAGAACTCCAGCTGACCAGCTTTCACTTTTTAAAAAGATGGAAATAGTGAGCTCTAGAGTGTCTTATCTTCAAGAAAGTGAAGAAAAACAAAATGAAGATGATATTATGTGATATTGGTAGGAAAAACCAGAAAAGGTAGTGCGCCTGCCTTTCAACAGACAAGTTTCATTAGAAGCCCCAGAAAAGCTGGTTTTGGTCTTTGCCTTTACTTTCTTGTCTGGGGCTGTTCTCTCACATCATGGAAGCAAGTGAAGATCATCGCAGAGAACGGAGAGCTGCAGTCCCTGCCATGGATTTGGGAGGTGCTGGTGCATGAGGTGGATTCACAGCATTGTGCAATGACAGAGAGGGAAGAGCAGAAGAGAGTCAGCTGGGGTATTTTTGCATAGATAAAGCATGGTAACAATGGTTGTGAGGGAAGACATCTCCTCCCTCACTTCAAATGGAAACACCTTTTGGAGAGAGTAAGAGGGAGGAGGAGTCATAGCTAACTGCAGTCAGCTGTGCTGGCAGTAAAATGACTGAGGAATCCTAGAAATTAGCATTAGTTTTTGCAAGAAGGAGTAGAGTGGGAAGTGTGATTAAAACAGAGATACAAATGTTTTTTAAATGACAGCATTCTTTGCGTGCCTGAGAAGTTAAATGAAAATTGCATAACTGTTTTTGGGGAGGCCTAGTGAAACAGAGGCTTGAATAAAGATACTGTGGTCAGCAAAGCAGGGCAAGGACAGGCCTAAACTTTGTCAGCAAAATAAGGTTTAATCTAAAAACATGAGCTATTATTGAACAGCCATTTGAAGTAGTCCTAGTTACAGGACTGTCTGCAACAAGGGATTGACACAGCCTATTCTCAGAGGATTCAATATTTGAATTTATTAACCTGTGAGTAGAAGAGAGGGAATAAAAAGAGCAGCTTCAGTCTGTATAGTCCTTGTCAGTGGCAAAAGTTCTCCTTACACCTATGAGATTGCTTTTTGTGTGCAACCCACAAAAATAGGCATTCCACATTACCTTTTAAAGGTGTAAATCTATTAAGAAGCTGTAATTAAGCAACTGGCTGGGGAAAGTAATACATACAGCAAAAGAGTATGGTCACATACAGCTTCCTACAGGCACAGATACCACAGTTGACAGTCAATACCTGCATTCAGAGTCTGCTTACAAAATTCTGTCCTAAACTACAAAATAACCAGGTGTTAAAACTGTTTCTCCTCTGGTTTGCATTCGGTGACTAATCCTGAACAATGTCACACGTGTTGTCACATTCTTACAGCAACTCTGAAGGTTCTAGAAGCTGCAGAGGGTAGGAATACAACACTTTGAGGTATGGCAAATTATATGGAAACTACCTACACCTACACTAAAAAGCTGTAGATCACTCATAAATTTGTTTAAAGTTTAGCAATAAATACAAATGTTACCATAAGTATACTACCCAAAGAAACACGTACATAACATTAAGCAAATTATTGCCACAACTACTTTTTAACAACACTCATCTCCCCTCAAAACAGGAATCCAAACAGGAAAAACTTCAGAATGTCAATTGTATAGCATTTCAGACAGAAAAGCAGGAGATGAATATTAATTTAATCTCATCACCTTGTCTTTGTAATAAATTGGAGTTATGTAAAAAGTGCTTACAGAGTACTCACAGACTAAGTACTTACACTAGAAAGAGGATAATACCCCTTTTAATTAGGTAACTATTATAACTGATAAATTTTACCAAAGTCTTATAATTCAGTCTGGAAAGGTAAATAAATAAAAGAAAGTATTCAAAAAGGGAAGGAATCCCTAGAACTGGATGCAAGATAATTTCATTTGGTGACAACAAAGCAAAATTTACAGGTTTCTACCAGACTCACTCTCAGCCACTGGAAGATCTTTCCCTTTACTTTTAAATTTCAAGTATTGGAGTGATATTTTACTGCTAGAATTACATTACTATACATTTACCAGAATGAAGACAAAATTGTGCTACAGCTTCAAAGGACACTTATTTTATATGCAAAGAGGTAAAAAGCCCATCTCTTATCTAACTGACCTCAGCATTGGAATGGTTGTATTAATTTATTTATAATATGTTATATAATATGTTATATTAATTTATTTATGTATTAAATTTTCTCTAAAATAAGGAATTAAAAAATTAAAAGGGGAAGACGTACACATTGAAACTATCTTCCTTTTAAAATAATGTAATTTCTTAAAACCAAAAGCTTAGAAAAAATACTGTATGCTATAAGACTAATTTGCAATTACAAACAACAATGTAATATTTACAAATACCAACATATAAAACAAATAACATTGTTACATTTACAAATAAAAAAATTATCAGTTATATTTTTACTTACCCAGCAAATGCTTGGACTGCATAAAGCTTAGAAGCATCTAAGGAACTTGCACTTACTAACTGAGCCTTTAATAGAAATCAAAAGAAGTACAGTTACTTGATTGCTTTTAGTAAGTTTTGGACTGAATTTAACTGCATCAAACATATAAGACATATGAAAATGTTTAGCAGGGTCAGCTCCAGGCCAAAGCTAGACTAACTGTTCCTTTGGGAGACATTTTGGTAGCATTCAGCATTTAGTGTCACACAGTGGAAGAACCCACGGGAAGGTAAGGGATTGCCTCCCAAACACTGTTGCCCTTTAAATCCTGTATTGAGTGCAGGGTAGGTGATAATTAGAGGCAAAAATCAGATATCATGTTTGACAGTAGCAGACCCCTGTGTTGGCAGTTATGGAAAGCACAACAGTGAGGGTTACCCTGTATATAAATGCAACACGTTTGCAATACAATCAAAGGAGAACAAAAGAGTGGAAAGCTGGGAAAAAAAACATGCAGTTTTTACAACTAAAATGAAGGAACAAAACAGGTCAAATAAGTCACAAACAAACATCAACAAAATACATGATCCCTATAGCAAATAGGTGATTTTAAACCTTTTCATCCACAGAACCGCTATCTGAAAGAGAATTGGGAAGAAGGGGAATATAGGTTAGAAAAATCAGTCTCTGAAAAAAATTTTATGCTATAAAATCTGTCAGTGTTTTCATCTGTTAATGTAGACCAGAATCCAAGTAACACCTGAGCTTAGCTGTATAATTGCGGCAAGATCACTGTCACTAACTAAAGTGACAAAGCAAAAAGGTGTTCTTGGTAGATAAGGACCCCTCCCACTTATGAAGGACTGTAATTCACATATTATACTCCATATCTATGTGATTTTTAATTTTATTTCTTTTAAATAAACTATTTTTAATAATAATGAATACATAGTTTATATAGTTGCAGTGTTAAAACAAATAATGCTGTATTTTCAAGGAAAATGAAAGTGTTTCTAAGGATACAAAGACCACAACCTCAACCCAACTCCTGAACTGTAACAATTCTATCATAGCTACTCATAAAACGACAGAAATTACTCCCCAAATGCCAACAGAACTACAATTGTGAAAGAATATTTCATACATACATACATATATATCATTCTAAATTACTTTATGCAAGAGTGAAAATTTACAGACAGAAAATATTTGCTGACAGAAAAAGCTACTGTTGTTTTATTGTCTTGTCACATTTGCACTTTACAGTACAGTGCATACATGAAACAGTGTTGTTTTAATTGTCACCTTACTGATCTTCCCACTTCCCTAAAGGGAGTGCTCAAGGGCCCTTTAAACAGTTTGGATTCTCTCAAAATGTTTGGAGATATCTCAGTTGCATACACTACAAAATAACAATTTACACCTTAAACATGGGCCACATTTAATTTTTAAACCCATTTATATACAGGAAAAATCACATTCAAACACATAAATCAAAATTATACTGGCAACTGTAAAGCTGCATAGTGGACAGTAGTGACAATCAGGGAACTAAAAGGCTCTATTCTGCCACTAGTTTTAGAGGCTGCTTACATGATCAAAGCATTTGACTGACTAGATCTATGAAAATGAGCTTATTTTTTAAATATTATAATTTAAAAACAAATTATTTGTGAAATTTATATTTCTCTCAACACCAGATAGTATTGGCTACTCTTTCAAGAATATAAAGAATATTTGGACAACAATATGATCTAATCTTCCCACTCCAAAATTATTACAGCACTTCACAAGCAGGGTGAGAGCAGGAGGAAATAGGTTACTGTAAGCAGGGCAGGCCTTGGAAACAGGATGGGGTGTGCTTTTATGAAGCCTAAAGAAGAGATGAGTTAAAACATAAGGGCTGGAGCAGCATCTGGACATCAGTGAGAGGAGAGGAATGACAGTGTGTACCAACATGGTGGGACTGACACAGGCATGAATTCCTGAACTTGTAAAAAAAGGAAGAGTCCAAAAGGTGAAGAAAAATCTGGGGACTAAGGGAGTTTTTAAGCAAGACACTACTTGTAATTAAGAAGCCTCACCACAGTCTGTTCAAGCAACCTGCACATTCTTTCTAGAATATCTCATCATAACAAAATTGGTAATACCAACAAATAAAAGCACAGAATAAATTTAAGCATTGATTTGTTGATTCCACATATTTGATTGTGTGGAATGCAATTATTAAATAGTTTGCAGATGCTTTGCTATCAGATACCTAAAGAATCATATTAATTCTTCATTTAATTCGCTTGTTTAAAAAGTTATATTAAAAATTTGTTGAGATTTGTCTTCTACATAAAATGGACTTTTTTAAAGCATGAGAGATAGATATATAAAATTTTCTTTACCTCTTTTTGTTTCAGCCAACTTCATCTAATTTCACTACATTTAGTTTATTGGAACCTAATTTTGCCTAAATTTAGTGAGGAGAGTGACAATCAAAATTAGGAAGGAAGAAAGGTATGTTTTTGCTTTTACTGGCTTTTCTTTGCAGTCACTACACATAAAGAAAAACACACTCATCTAACGGTCTCTTTTCTCAATAGAAATTACATGAAGCGGATGACTGACGCAAATTTCCCAAAAAAGAGATCTTAAGAACATCTCTTCTTTGTAACAAATGAGTGCATCTTCAAAGACAAAATTAGTTTGAAAACTTCATTGTTTACTGCTTCTTCTAAAGTCACCATGAGTGAAATAATCTGAACTGGAAGTGTTCTCTGCATGTATGAGAGCACCAAATCAGGAAGTGTACAGTCACCAAGCAATTCACTTTAGTAGTCGTTAGGCTACCAGAATAGACAGCAACGTTCCTTGATGTAGATAAGAAATGAACTGTGATTATATAAGAGACCACTGAATGTATTTTCACATCAGGATTCAAGGCTAGACATCTCAGATTATACTGCTGAATGACAATGATTTACTGAAAAGAGCTTATCTTCATATAACTCAGTTCTGTCATCCACACATTCAAAATACTCACCTAGAAAAGTAATGAGTGCACCTAGGAGCAGTAGAAACACTGGTTCATATAATTAACCCTTCTTACTTTAATTAGTTCTTTCTCCATAAATTTTTATTTTAATTGAAACTTCACTACATTATGAAATACCAGTAATAGCCTTCATATTGTGCCTCTATACAACAGGCCATTTTAGATAAGAGGAAGTATTTTTTTTTTACTAGGATTAGAGGGAGAATCCTTTTGCTCCTTAATTGTTGCTATTTCAGCTCAGTGCAGTCCACATTGATATTTACAAACCTGTGTAGCAGAATGATGAAGAGTAGAGTGGTCATCTATCTACATACTCCTGAAAATTATTTTTACTAATGTCAAATATTGAAGGCAAAAGGAAAATGTATACAAGCCCTTTTTATTTAAGGCTGTCAATTACATTTAATTAGATAACTAAGCAGGAAATTAGACAAAATTAGTCTAAGTTTACTTTAATAAGTTTCAGGTATTAAAAAGCTATATAATACTCAGCATAGCCACTAAATCTTGGCTTCTGTTGAAAGTGGTTTACATATTGGGATGGCTGGGGAATGAAGAGAGAGGGCCTTGTCATTTTTCAGTACCCTCAAATAAGCCCCCTGGTTATTTTCTATCCACCTATCATTTCAAATGTAGACTAAGTAAAATTTCCAACAAGTGTTTATTAATGCTGCATAATTACTATTCAAACTTGGTATGAAAATTAACAGATCTTAGACAAGTTTAACTTTACATTGTTATAAACTGTTTTCAGATTGTCATGGTCCAAGTTTATTCAATTAGCAATGTTGCTATCTGTAACTTCTCACATGAAAGAGAAATTAATCACACAAGACAACCAGTTCTACACCCAAATTTCTGAGGAAAAAAAAACCAAACAACCATAAAGGATGCTGAAAAGGCAGAGTCTTCCAGCAGGAAAGGTATATTAGCATTGAGGATATGGAAGTTAAGACAGACCTTTGCTTTTGTACCTTGTGACACCATCACAAGTGCACAACTGGATCTATCAGTCAGCAGAGATATTTCTAACAAAGAGGTTCAGGTGATTCTGTTCCCCATTTATAAACCTCCTTCAAAAGTCTTGTGCCATTATTTCATTTCTGCACATTTCAGAGAGCAGAACATTGTCCCAATACACTCCTCTTCCTTTAATGACTGCAAAAATTCAGTTCTCCACTCCCTGCCATAACACAAGAACTGTTACAAAGTTCTAAAAATCTAAACTGTTAGGACACCCAAGGATCAAAATTAGTCAAAACATTGATTTACCACTCCTGTGTGCATTATTCCACAACACCAAGAAGGAAAAATAATTAAAGTTCATTATTCTCTCAAAAGTACCATTTCGATATTTAATTCTGCAAAATGGCTGCAAGAATGTCAAACTGACTGATAATTACATTGTTTCTGGAAGCAAAGCCTTCAGACAAAATACTTGCTGAAATTAGATAACAATACAGCTGTTCCATGAAAACAACATGTGTAAAGCACCCATAGTCAGAAGTAGTTTGAGGTCTGAGGTGGACAATTTTAATTAGCATGTACTGCCAAGAAAGGGAAATAACAGATGAAAACCAGGTTTGAATACAAGCAGGACATTAAAGAAGTGGATTGGCCAAAACAATGACACAAATTAAGCCATGCTAAAATAATAAATGCTGCAGCCAGAAGCTATTATTGCCACTACAGAACAGAACATTACACTCTGTAAGCCCAGAGGATGTTGTATTGCTGAAGCTTATTCTAGGGAAATAGTATATAACGCCTGAAAGATAATATTAAAGCTAGCACATCACAAGAGATGAGTGATGCCTGTCTGACAAAGAGAAGGTCAAACTTGAATAAAGCTTGGTTGACAGTAGAAATAGAAGAATTGCTGCTAGCACTTTACTAGCAGTGATGTAGAAAAATTACTAGCGGATACATGGAGAGTCAAAACAGGAGGTCAGTTTGGTGAAGATGAAAACTGCATTTGTTTCTCTATTAATAAAGTGGTCTGCAAATCTGAAACAAAAAGATATGCTTTAAAAACACCTCTGGTGTTTAGAAATTGAGTCCCATTAGACTTCTAATGGCTTTGTTTTCTATAGTTTTTCAACAGCTAGTAGACACTTCTACCAAATTTTAGAACTTATCTCTAAAACAGTAAGTTATAGACTGTCAAGAGAACTATTTGCAGGATGTGGTGAGCTCAAAAAACTACCATTCTCTTGAAGACTGTGATCTCTTGACAATCTCTGTCTTGTTGGGGTGATGGTGGGAAGTAAAAGTCAGCATGCATTTTAAGCACTCTCTTCCTTCTGACCCCAGAAAGCATTAAAATGATAAGGCATACATTATCCAAAATGGATAAAAAGGTGTATTTTATCTCCCTCAACACATATGATAACAGTATATGCAACCAAGTAATTAATTATTTACTATGAAAACAAACACATGATTGATTATTGTAACTTTTCCTGCATCCACACTGTGTTGGGGTGTCCCTCCACCAGGACACACAGCTAATGATGTCACAAAGTGACAAACTGGGAAGAAAAAGATTTGCTTCGAAGGTGTACCCCCATTGTGAAGTAAAAAGTTCACGTTGGC